CAATAATGTGAACATGAGGATTTTTTTTTTACTTGCCTCAAACCTGCAGCGCTGCTGAAGTGTGAACGGAGAAAAAAAAAAGGAGGAGGACTACGCTGCAGTAGCCTATACTGTGAACAGAATACAACAGATTTGCACATATTTAACTTAAATAATTAGGTATCAAATAGCCTAGATGCCTGACTTTCTAATGAAAACAGCATAACAAAACGAAAAACACACTTTAAATCCTCCAGTGCCGTTATAACATTTTGAAATAGCGGAGTGTCTCTCATGCATCAAAATATTAAACTTATACAAATAAATAACAACAGCCAGATTAACAAAACAAAAACACACTTTGAATCCATGCAGNGTGTCTCTCATGCATCAAAATATTAAACTTATACAAATAAATAACAACAGCCAGATTAACAAAACAAAAACACACTTTGAATCATACAGCGTGCCCAGTGCGCTGCATAAGATAACATTTGAAATAAATAAAATAAATAGCGGAGTCGGCTCTCGTGTAGCCTATCAAAAATATTTAAACTTAGGCCTATAGATAGGCTACAAATAGGATAAATAACAACAGCCAGATTAACAAAACAAAAACACTTTGAATCATAACTGTGCATAAGTGGCCCATAGCCAGCCACTGGAAGTCCTCACGTGTAACTTAAAAAATAACTTATACCGGTAATTTCTTAAAATAAAATAGCAAATAGTATAGCCTGCCTATATCTCCCGTGTATCATATTTTATAACTTATTAAAATAAATAGCAACAGCCAATAGATTAGTAAAACTGAAACACACATGAATGCTCTCGGCGGCGGCGCTGTAAAAAAAAAAACACACACACAACACAACACTTTTTTTAGATGAAAATTTCAGTCCTCAAAATAAAATAATCAGGCCAGGCCTACGTACCTCAGTCCTCTGTCAGACAGCTCACAGGTTTTGATTAAGAAAAAGCAACATGTCAACATGCTCCGGAGTTAGCCTGGTGCGCAGTCTGTTCACTGTGAGACCCGCAGCGGAGAACACCCGCTCAGACGGCACAGATGTCCCGGGAACACAGAGGTAGCGCCTCGCTAGAGTGGCCAGCCTCGGGAAGCACGTTTGTTGAATTTTCCACCAATCAAGAGGATTAGTATCCAGTGAGGGTAGATTGTCTCTCATATAGGTGTCCACTGCTGCCTTTGGATCATCACCTTGTTTAGGGGTGCTGTAGTCATCTCCCAGGAGCAACATCATGGCACTGCCTGGGCGGCACCGGATTCCAGCCTGGGCAGCAGACACCGCTTTCTCCGCATCCTCACCCGAAGCACCACCTGTCTCATCACCTCCACAAGCAGCACCAGCGACAGGCTCATCTTCAGTGGCTACTTCCATAGTAGCACAGATTTCCAGTAGTTTTGCTTTTGCGGCTTCTTTCTCCCTTGGTGAAAAAAACCTGAGATGTTTATGGCGTGGGTCCAGGACACAGGCGATCAGCGCTGGCTTGGCCACCAACTCCTCCGTATCAACCTGTGGTGAACAGTATTATAGCCTAATTAATTTCCCTCTTATTTCATAACGGAACAAAGCATAATAATAATGATAATAATTAGGCTACTATTATAGCTAAATAGATTACCCCCATCCGGTCACACAATGACTGCCGGACCTTCACCTTAAACTCTCTCACTCTCTGGCCGTCATCTTCAGCTCTCGTCAGGTGTTTGTTTAGCAAGCTGAAGGTGATGGGATAAATGTTGGAAACTGACACCTCCTTTTCTGTGGACATGATGGTGGTCGCACATTTTAACGTCTCCAACACCGGCGCAGTCTCCTCCATTATCTGCCAGTACTCGTCTCGGATCTCAAGGGTTCTGGCTTCTTGCAGTTTTGTAACTGTTCGGTCGGACAGAACAGCTGTAACTGCCCACTGTTGTTCCAGGAGTCTTGCGAACATGTCACACACCGAGTTCCATCTTGTTTTACACGACTGGATAAGTTTGTGTTTTGGAAGCTGCATTTGGTCTTGTTTGGCCTCCAGTGCTTTGCATGCAGGAGTGCTGTGGTTGAAGTGTCTGACAAGCCGCCCAGTTGCAACAATAACACGATGCACAAAAATGTTGAATCCATCATTTACCGCCAGCTGCAGTCTATGCGCAAAACAGGAGACTGAGTCCCAGTTCACCCGTCCCGGAGAGTTGGCAGCCACAATGTTGCGTGCGTTATCGTGGACGCATGCAGACACTTTCCCACTGAGTCCCCATGTCTCCACCGCATCATTTAGTTTAGCTGCGAGGTTGTCAGCTGTGTGTCTGCTTGGCATACTCTGTGTTAGCAGGACGGCAGATTTAACTTTCCAATCCTCATCGATATAGTGACATGTAATTGTCACATATCTCTCCGTTGTGAGCGCGGTCCAGCAGTCGGTTGTAAGAGCCATGAACTTTGTGCTTGCAAGCTGTGCTTTAAGTTCTTTTTTTCTCTCTTCATAACGGGCTTCAAGTCGATGGGTAATGGTCGGCCTTGATGGGATTTGGTAATTAGGCTCGATATAGCCCAGTAGCTCCTGAAAACCCTCGCCACTGACCACGCTGATAGGCAAAATGTTGTTCTCCACCATCGAACAAATTTTCTGAGTTATCTGCTCAGACCACCGCGCATCGCATCTTCTCCCCGCTATCATGGAGAGCAAAGTTGGCTGTAGTCCTCCATCATCTGATGCTTGTGGATGTTTGCTTTGCAAGTGGTATTGCATTGTGCTCGTACTACTGCTATATTTCAGTGTTGCACTGCATATTTTGCAAATAACCTCATCATTCTTTCGGTCAAAATGGTCCCACACATTACTCATTTTTGCTGCGAATTGCTAAATATGGCGGACTGCACGAGTCAGTAGTCTGCACGTGTCGACACGCCCCCATGAGTTGATTGACACAAGTGGCCAAAAAAAAAAACAAAAAACCAACCGATAGTGTTAATCGGTCAAAGTTCTTGTTATCGGTTAACGGTTAAACGGTTAATCATGTGCATCCCTGCCTGCAGATTTACTATTGGTTCTGCAACGTAGGGAGTTTTTTTAAACTCTGAAATTGTATCCGCCCATCTAAACACAAAATCAGGGAGAAAGTCATCAGTCTTTAGTTAAGCAAAGCGTCTAAAGACTGACTTGTGAGTCTACTGTTCCAGTGGTAAGAGAGCTATTAATTATATGTAGTGCTGGGCTAAGAATTGGGAAGAGGTCCTTAATGTACTTAGAGGGAATAGGATCCAGTAGGGAGGTAGTGGAATTGGAGGAGAAAACCAGTTTAGAAAGAGTTTCATCGGAAATTGTCTCAAAGTGGGTGAGTTTGCAAGGTGAAGACAGGTCGTATGAAACCGCCATGCCCTGGGTGGGAGATGGGAGAGAGGATATTGCTTTTCTGATGTTGTCGATTTATTGGTGAAAAATTCTATGAAATCAGAAGCAGTATGAGGAATATTGCACATAGGGGATGGTTTACATGTTAATTTAGCTACAGCGTCAAAGAGAAATTTTGAGTTATTTTTATTATTTTGTATAAGTTCAGAAAAGTAAGCTGTTCTAGCGGCACAAAGAGTGTGTTTATATTTACGAAGGCTGTTTAACCATTCAAGCCGAAAATTATTTAGCTTGGTTGATCTTCATTTATGCTCGAGCTTTCTGCATTTTTGTTTCATAAGCCGAGTGTTTTGATTGTACCAAGGGGATGGTTTTGGTCTAATTTTTCTGTTATAGAGAGGGGCGACTGAGTTAAAAGTATCCAGTAATGCAAAATTGAAATTTTCTGTGAATTCATTTAGGCAACAGGAGTGATCCATGGTGGTGATAGTTGATTTGAGTTTCTCACAAAGTTTATCAACAGTGGATGAGTCGGTGCATCGGGTAGTATAGATTTTAGAGTGGCTAATATGACGATTAAAGATGAATGTAATTTTAAAGGTGAAGAAACAGTGATCTGAAAGGGCATTTAGGTGTGGTGAGATAGCTAGATCTGTGAAAAAGAGGCTGCGTGTAAGGATCAGGTCAAGTGTGTGACCATAGAAGTGAGTGGGTTCATTGATTTGTTATGTCAAACCAGTAGAATCGGTCAGGTCTAGAAAAGCTTTACTGAGTGGTTCAGATTTATCGTTAATATGGATATTAAAATCTCCCATAATTAAAAGTTTATCAGATCATGTCAGCATGTCACAAAAAAAGGTAGAAAACTCTGATAAAAACTGTGAGTAGGGCCCTGGTGGTCGATATAAAATAGCTATATAAAATGACTGTAGCTTGGAATGCATAACAAGTACTTCAAAGGATGTAAAAACAGTGATGTTTCTTGGATTTAACTGAAGAGAACTGGAGTTATATATAGCAGCAACGCCCCCACCTCTTCTTGATGACGTGACACTCGTAAGCTTGTGTAATTTGGGGGGGATTTGGCCATCTGAGTTGCAGGTGACATTATCAGCAGGTTTGAGTTGAGCTCAGACTGGCCAGTTCACACCGCTGCAACTTTTCTCTGCAATGTTATGAAACGTTTTGTTTTGTCTTGTTGCGAATCATTGATCTGAACTGGGCTTTACGTTGTTATCTCTCCCTCAACTGTGTATCTCACTCGCTGAGCAAATAAGTGACAGTCACTTCCACTTTTGCCTTTAAATGGCTTATCTCTGAAGTGTTTCAGTGTGTGAATTGCAGTTGTTCATTTTATTATTGTTGCACTTAATACAGGTCTAGCATTAACTCTTGATTATTGACTATTCTAGTGAGACGGACAGTGTCTCAGTGCATGTTTACAATATAGGCTTGATCTATGCACAAATCCTTTGAAATATAACAGTAACAGAATCAACTTTTAATGAAACTGTACTTGACAGTTGAAAGACCTGTCACATTATTTTTGTGTGAGTGGAACAATTATGTTTTAAGTACTTGAACACAAACCCAATTGCAGAAATGATGATGTGATAGTATTGACTGTCCCTTTGTTTCTCCCACTTTCATGTGTTCAGGCACTTTCATGCAGGAGAAGAAGAGTTTCGAACAGAGTTCAAAGTGCCTCCGTTCCAGGACTGCATCCTCAGTTTCTTGGGTTTCTCAGTTGAAGAGAAGGCCAACATGGAGGAGAGGACTCTCAAACACGGTCAGTGCAGCAGCACACAACGATCTGGCAAAGTGTCTGTGCAGCAGTTGTTGTTTTTTTGTGGTGGCTTTCTGGCAGACAGGCACACTAGTTACAGTGTTCACACTTCTATTGTACACTTGCACTTTTGTATATATTTGGTTTATGGAGTGAGGTGATAAAAAAATGACACAGCTTTTAAAACACTTTGATACTGAATATTGTTCTTACTGAAGCCCGAAAATAAGCAGCCTGGTGAGACCATCCTGACGAGGTAAGCTCAACTTTCTGTTTAGCTTTTTGTATCAGTCTGGACTCACTGCCGCTCCAAACACTTAAAGTAGGTGGGAGTACTCACCTTGACCTAGACAAACTTCTCCAGCAAATCAGCTTAACAAAACACCAGGGAACATCTTCTTCATTATCAACAGAGCCGTTTCATAAATCAAGCTTTTGCCAAATCCAGTAGAGAAAGAATAGAGAAAACACCTTTTCCTCGAGAATCTCAGTGAGTGTATACTCTTCTTGTTTCTTCGTTGTTACTGACTCTATTTCTGCAATAACTTTACTTATTACTGTGTTTACTCTACTTATGTTAGAATTAGCACTTGTTTCTTCAGGAGCTGCTATCACTGTTCTTCAAGCGGCAGTCTGCCTTTAATGTCATCAGCTACAATGCAGTCCCTGATTGGCTGAATAAGTTGTCAGCTATGGTACTGATCCCTGATTGGCCCCGATTGGATTTTATTTTCTGGAAAGTGTTATTGGGTGGCACCCAGTGCAGACTGATTGAGAGAACTAAGTAGGATGTTGAGCTGACATCATCAAGATGGTCATACAAAGCTAGAAAATAAGCTCTGTGGCAAACAAAAGTTTATGATACTTACACGTTTTGTTCAGCAAGATAATCTTCACATATGGAAACCACAATTTTTGAAGCCTAAATGCAGTTGCAAGAGGTAAGAAGCTAATGTTGTCCTATAATTGAAATACACCATGGTCGGATGATTTAACATCTGTACCACAACAAGGCTGTAAAGCCATGTTTGGCGTGATGATGTTCTGTAGTCTCATTTAGCTGCTTGTTATTGACCACCTTTTTTAATACACATATAAGCTTCAAAATTTCTCATAGTCTCGAGTAGGTTATTCACTGACATATTTCATGTCCGAGAACAAAATGAGACAAGGGAACCGGATGTGCAAAAATGCTAACTCATTTCTATATTTAAGACTCATTCTTGGGGCACTCAATTTCTGTTGGGGAGGGGCTTTATTGAATGGTCAATTCTGATTTAGCTAAAGTAAAATTAGTAAATCTGATCCATTTTTAAAAAGGTGTTTGTGTATATATGTGTATGCACATTTACATATTTTTCCATCATTATCTCTCTGTTTTTCTGTATCTTAGGTGGGAGTTATCTTGAGGTTGGAGATGAGAGGTGTACACACATGGTAGTGGAGGAAAACTCAGTAAAGGAACTGCCGTTTTCTCCCTCCAAGAAACTGTTTGTGGTCAAACAGGAGGTAGGTAGTTTTAAGGAAAGAGTGCAGTTTCAGTGCTGCTTCTTAAGACAAACAAGTTTGACACCTCTGAAACTAGCTCAAACACTACCATGACATAACATACCATATACTCTAATGTTTTGCAACAGGAAGATAAAGATACAAGGGGGGCAAGGGAAAAATAATAGGTCCTTTCAGTTTTTTCCTCCTTAACAGAATGCCGTCATCATCTGATCAGGATTCCTTTTAGATTAAACCTCAGTTGATACCATCTCTGCTCTCCCTCTCTCTGTCTGTGCTGTCAGAGAGAGGGATCAATAATAGATTTCCTCATTCCAGTGGATGAATAATTTGAGTCAGGGTAGAGTGGTGGTTTAGGTGTACTTCAAACCCCACAATCAATATGGCTTTTTCTTTATTCTGCTCGTTATATTGGTTTTCAAAGGGGAGTCTATGTCACTGTAGTATCAGAAATCTTTTGTTTCTACGTAGCTCTGTCCAAACCCAGCAGTCAGTAAAAGCAGTTTTCTCTCTTCTGTGGTAGTGGTTCTGGGGAAGCATTCAGATGGACGCTCGGGCTGGAGAGTCCATGTACCTCTACGAGAAGGTGAGTGTGTTTATAGGTGATGTTATTAATTCAAGCCCGATGTATATACACTGACCTAAAGGATACTGCACACTTATAGTATGAAATGTAAACAACACCAAGACAAACAGTTTAAAGGCAATGGATCAACCTTTTGTTTAATTCTCTTTGTTACTTTTGTCTTTTTTAATAACAAAGCACTTATATTTATGTTGCTCCCATTCTTGTTTCGGTACTTTTCATTTACTGTAGAGTTCTTTCTATCATTTGAAACCAAACCAAGGACCCCTATTCAAGCTCTCCAGGAGAGAGATTTCATTCAGTATGTTTACACGCAGTTGAGCTACACTTATAGGTCAACTAAGCCATTTAATTGGACTACTGTCCTTGTCTCAGTATACAACAATGGGACGGGAATTGATTTATTGACTGAAGTACAGTACAGGCCAAAAGTTTGGACACACCTTCTCATTCAATGCGTTTTCTTTATTTTCATGACTATTTACATTGCAGATTCTCACTGAAGGCATCAAAACTGTGAATGAACACATGTGGAGTTATGTACTTAACAAAAAATGGTGAAATAACTGAAAACATGTTTTATATTCTAGTTTCTTCAAAATAGCCACCCTTTGCTCTGATTACTGCTTTGCACACTCTTGGCATTCTCTCGATGAGCTTCAAGAGGTAGTCACCTGAAATGGTTTTCCAACAGTCTTGAAGGAGTTCCCAGAGGTGTTTAGCACTTGTTGGCCCCTTTGCCTTCACTCTGCGGTCCAGCTCACCCCAAACCATCTGGATTGGGTTCAGGTCCGGTGACTGTGGAGGCCAGGTCATCTGCCGCAGCACTCCATCACTCTCCTTCTTGGTCAAATAGCCCTTACACAGCCTGGAGGTGTGTTTGGGGTCATTGTCCTGTTGAAAAATAAATGATCGTCCAACTAAACGCAAACCGGATGGGATGGCATGTCGCTGCAGGATGCTGTGGTAGCCATGCTGGTTCAGTGTGCCTTCAATTTTGAATAAATCCCCAACAGTGTCACCAACAAAACACCCCCACACCATCACACCTCCTCCTCCATGCTTCACAGTGGGAACCAGGCATGTGGAATCCATCCGTTCACCTTTTCTGCGTCTCACAAAGACACGGCGGTTGGAACCAAAGATCTCAAATTTGGACTCATCAGACCAAAGCACAGATTTCCACTGGTCTAATGTCCATTCCTTGTGTTTCTTGGCCCAAACAAATCTCTTCTGCTTGTTGCCTCTCCTTAGCAGTGGTTTCCTAGCAGCTATTTGACCATGAAGGCCTGATTCGCGCAGTCTCCTCTTAACAGTTGTTCTAGAGATGGGTCTGCTGCTAGAACTCTGTGTGGCATTCATCTGGTCTCTGATCTGAGCTGCTGTTAACTTGCGATTTCTGAGGCTGGTGACTCGGATGAACTTATCCTCAGAAGCAGAGGTGACTCTTGGTCTTCCTTTCCTGGGTCGGTCCTCATGTGTGCCAGTTTCATTGTAGCACTTGATGGTTTTTGCGACTCCACTTGGGGACACATTTAAAGTTTTTGCAATTTTCCGGACTGACTGACCTTCATTTCTTAAAGTAATGATGGCCACTGGTTTTTCTTTAGTTAGCTGATTGGTTCTTGCCATAATATGAATTTTAACAGTTGTCCAATAGGGCTGTCGGCTGTGTATTAACCTGACTTCTGCACAACACAACTGATGGTCCCAACCCCATTGATAAAGCAAGAAATTCCACTAATTAACCCTGATAAGGCACACCTGTGAAGTGGAAACCATTTCAGGTGACTACCTCTTGAAGCTCATGGAGAGAATGCCAAGAGTGTGCAAAGCAGTAATCAGAGCAAAGGGTGGCTATTTTGAAGAAACTAGAATATAAAACATGTTTTCAGTTATTTCACCTTTTTTTGTTAAGTACATAACTCCGCATGTGTTCATTCATAGTTTTGATGCCTTCAGTGAGAATCTACAATGTAAATAGTCATGAAAATAAAGAAAACGCATTGAATGAGAAGGTGTGTCCAAACTTTTGGCCTGTACTGTATGTCCGTCTCAGCTGATAGATGGTGATATGCCCCCTTTCAGCGTGTTAAAATTTGACCCTTTTCTGGTTGACCTATTATGTCGCAGACCAAACAATCTGCAAACAAGTTAGCTATAGTTAGCTAGCAGCAAACCTGTATTTTAAAATATTTAACTCTATCAGCTGACACAGCATGAACTGTGTCTCCGTGTCCGACCAAAAATGCACGGCTCTGGATGTAGATTTTTCAATTCCTACCAACTTCTTATGTTCCACATTTAATGCTATTTGACTTTCAGGTCAAAGCCTGGGGTAGAGACTGTGGAGCATGCGCAGAGTGCCTTGGCCAGTTTGGGTCCGATTGACTATATACATGCAGGAGTAAATCGACTCCCAATTGCAATATCTGGGTGTGTTAGTCTGACTTCAAGATTTGATTTAGTACGATTTCAGTCTGACCAACATGTTTACTTGTATTTTAAAAGTCTGGTTTTAATCCGACTAACACAGTAAATCAATTTTCTCTTATGCCATGTAAACATAGTGAATATCAGGGTTCTATGTGCCCTTTTCACAATTTGAAAGTTAAAATTTTGCCCATCAAACTGTCACTTTGAAAAATTTTCTTTGATATTTTCTACTTTATTCTATTTATTTATTAGTTTACTATTTTTTGTTATTTTGTGCACTTAGTGGCGTTTATTTCTGCTGTACTGCTGCAACAACTTATTTCCCTGCAGGGTATCAATAAAAGTGTATCTTATCTAAAACAAATGGAAACTGTGAAAAATGTATTAAACAACCAGCTATCTTGCCACATCAAGATTTAGGATTGTGACCATTTAAACAGAGTGATGTGTCATCCTATAGCACAATCAAAAACACAGATTCAGCTCATTTTTGTTGAGTCGACCCTGCAGCTTCTCTTGTGGCCTTTTTCTTTAGCTGTGATAACAATGAATGCTTGTGTGCCTGCTTGATAGTGGGGCTAACTGGTCCTAAAGGCCAGCTTATGCTTGAAATGAACTAATTTGTACTGAGTGCCGTTCAATCGTGTCTAAGGCAAAGGTGTTCTTAGCTCTTCAAAGTGTCTACACTTAAAGGGGTGGGGGGGGGGCTAAAAGCCTGCCATCATAAAGAAAAGAGACACGATGAATTGTACAAAGATAATGATAGACAATGGTGCACACTCTTGGACAGGCTTTCCTTAAAGGCATAAGTGGTGTTCTACTTGAGAGAGAAGTCCACATCATGCCTACTTTCCCACCTCCTCACACTGCCAGAAAACACAGTAAACTGCCACAGCAAACTGTGAGATGTAGAGCTGTAGGCGAAAGGCTACCACTGCAGTTTATGCAACCAGCTCACCTCCAATACATTGTTATGGTCAACAGTGCCTTTTTCCAACCCACCCTGTCCTGTGTGAATCAATATGTGCCTGTGTTTGCTTACAACTCGGTTTTGTTATCCCTTCTACTTGGTAAATTGCCAGTGCATCTTTTAGGGGTCTTTCCACAGTTAGTTGCCCTTTTTACACAGAGACGGCGCTATAGGGCCACTAAAAAGTCCTGTCTTTATGCCGCCATGCATTTTTACACAGAACCAAACAACAGCGGCATCATGCTGCTTCAGTGTATAAATTTAGAAAGCCCCCGGACCTCATTGTTTTCCAAATATGTGGACATTTTCAGCCACTGTTCTTCTTCTTTGAGATAGCTGCTAACTGCTAGTAGCTACTTTTTACATCTCCTGCAGTGGGTCGCACACGTAACACATCATCAAAAGGTTACACTTGTGCTGCCCATGATCCTGCCCTGCCAGGTGTTCTTTATAAGCCCAGTTCAGACCAGTGATTAGTGACGAGATGAAACTATTTTCAAATGTTGCCGAGAGAAGTTGTAGGGGTGTGAACTGGCTGGTCTGAGCACAGCTCAAGCCAGCTTATGGTGTCACCTGCAACTCAGCTGGTCAAATCGCTGGTGGCTGGTTTTAGAGCGTAAAGCACATCAGCTGTTGGAACAGCCAGTCGTCCCCACTGAGCTCTCTGTTTCCATTCTCAGAGTGGGTTGCTGCTGCTCGCTGGGTGTGCTTATGCCTCTGTCCCTGGGATTGTACCTTTTGTACAGAACAGCAAGGCAGAATAACAGAATTAAGTTCCTGCCTTGAAAAGACAGTGCAAAAGGGGCTAATGTCACCCAACTCATCTCTTTGGGAACTTTCCTAGTGGGACTCTTTCATGTTACCACGCTCTTAAAGCATGTCATTTTGAGGTAGTTGCCATCTGCTACACAGCACAGTTGAAATCAAGATTTTAGCCAGAACTACAGCATTATACAAACAGGAATCAAGATTTGCACATTATGTATGACACACTGTGACACTTTGGATGTGCCTACCTCACTGATTAACAGGTAATTGTATTAATTATAAAAGGTTTTTGCTTCAAGCTGTTTTCATTTTTTTCCCCACAGTTGCAAGACATGCAGCTTGTCTTCATGCTGCTTTCTTTCTTTGCTCAGTTTGTATTTTTCTTGTCCTCATCTATATATTTTTAACACACTGTACTTTAGAATGACAGCCCAGCCATGAAGAAGGCAGTGTCCCTCCTGTCCCTCACCACCCCCAACAGTAACCGTAAGCGTCGGCGTCTGAGGGAGACCCTGGCACAGCTCGCCAAGGAGACAGAGATCTCCCCTTTCCCTCCACCACGCAAAAGGCCATCAGCAGAGCACTCCCTGTCCATGGGTTCTCTGCTGGACATCTCTAACACCCCTGAGACATGCAAGGCCTTGGCAGGTAAGAGAAAAATAATGGCTGACTGGAAAACAGCTTTGATCCAACCCTAAACCCCTGAAAGGTTACAGCATTTCTGTTATATTTTTATGGAAAATACAATACCTGAGGGGATCGTCTCTTCTTTGATTATGGTTGGTTCTTCGTCATAAGAGAACATGAATAAGATGAATCCCTCTTCCTTTCAGAAGACAGAGTAGGGAACAGTTCAGAGAGCAAAGATGCCAATACTGTGACCAGAAATAGGATAAGAAGAACGAAAACCAGGGAAAGGAAGATTAGGACAGACAGGGAAGAGAGGAGGAAAAGGTCCTACCTGGGCACAAAAACCCTTCAACAACCAGAGGAGGAGCAGCAGCAGCCAGGAACTTCTACAGGTCAGGTTTTTACTTCGAGTACTACTGAACTGATATCGTTAGCAAATATCAGGCCAATTCAAGGCTAATAGAAAGTAGTTATCGAAAGGATCAAAGAACTTTGTGGTGACGATAAATAAGTCATGCATCATTTTTTTCCCAGTTTAAGTGAAAAGATTTAGTTTTTTTCGGTGAAGCACTGAATTTAACCCAGGCCAGCTGAAAGTAAATGAGTGCAAACATGAACATGGGCTGCAAGTGTTGAAAATAAAGCACTTTCTGATGAGCTTTCAGACGTTTTTTTTTTTTTTTTTTCACATCTAACAAATGGCAAAAATCATTAGTTCCACATCGACAAATTCACTGTTTTTGTTTGTTGAATCTGACCTTCAGGAAAATTAGGACTGCTAACATGATTTAGTGTACAATGCTCTCTTGTGGAAGCTTATATCTCTCCTCCCTGTGTTTTCTTAGCACAGAGTAGTTTGGAAAATATGCTGGAAGTAGGCTCCTCATTTTTAGATCATTGCTTTGACAGGCTGAAATGACAAACTATATTTGCGTCAGTTTTCAACAGATGTAGTTCATTTTGTTTATTTAGTAAGGGGCCTTGTCCACCATAGTAGAGCCCTGCGCGGGACTGTTTTCTTCATCCCGCTCCTGCCTGCTCCCGCTGAATTTCTGACCATTACTGCCCACAACCGCAACGTGTGTGTTACACTCCCGCCTGCACACGCAATGTGTATGTCCACTCCCGCCCGCTCCTGCAAAACTGAGAATTTATGCCCACACAATAATAGAGATGCATTGATTTTGTCTTCTCCCATCCCGCAGGAGAAAACATGTCATTTTATAGGCTATTAATAAAGAGATTCATGGGGTTTTTTGTTTCGTTTTACCTGGCCAGCATGTCACTGGTCAGGAATAGCGCTCCTATTTCGTTGTTTTCATTTAGTTTTTAATGAAGTAACGGCTGTTTCATATTCTATTCTCCTCCTCTGTATTTATTTATTTTTCTACCTTTATATAATCACGCAGTGATTGAGGTTAAGGTCTCTTTTCTAAGAGAGACCTGAATAAGAAACATTAATGAGATAAAGATAAAGCCTATGCTCAATAACACCGGCATCATCACGCCTCTTTATGTAATTAACAAATAGCAACGAGAGTAGGCTGTGAGTGGCTCAAATAACACTAATAAATAACATAAAATAAAGAAAGTTAACGAATGAAACGAATGAATTTAACAAATTAATCACTTGGCCATAATATTGCTGTGGAGGAAGAGAATGTTGCTGAACGACTGCGGTCCCAATCCTGTGCGTCTCTCTTCCACGATGTGCCCACAGACACTAAAGGCCTGCTCTGAAGGCGGACTGGATGCGGGGATACTGAAGATGAAACACGGCAGCTTTGAGAGCGCTGGGAAGTAGAGGGCTCAGTGTGCCTTCACACCTTGTTTGAGCTTCTTTTCCACATCATTTGTTAACTCCATCCTGTCGCTATAGGCTACATCCCGATCCCGCAGTGACCCGACCCAGCGGGACCCAGCGGGACCCAATCCCAATGCAGCCCTCTACACCAAAGCATTTTTGTCTGGGGCCAGCATATTTTTGTAATGTTTTGCAATGGGAGCACCGTGCTACAAACACTTATGGCATGACAAGGCACTGGGTGTGAATTTTGCGCCGAGTGCTGCTGGTTGGGCGTTTTGTCTGTGTGCCAAGAGTTGAAAAATTGTCAAATTTGGGTAAAAACCCTGCGATCATCACTGTCACTTCAGCCGTTCAGTCACAGTGGAGGAGGGACAAATACCGCAAAGACAGTCAAGTTTAACATGTTCAAGAGCTGAACAACAACAACAACAGAGGAGAAATCTGTTAATATACTTTATATATATATTATGTTATGTCTCATGAACCTACACAAACGGCAGGTCCGTCCTCTCACCTTGCATGCTTAAGTACTCTACATCGTGATGACACGTTTACTTCTGCAAATATTTCGTATAATAGCAACCAGATGTACGTTTTAGCTTACCATACTTTGATACTGTATGGCACATTCAGTTTGTAGTCCAGATATACATTTTTCCTGAATGGAAAAAACAAAACAAAAAAGAAAATCAGGATCAAAACCGGAAAGGTATGTGATGTGGTGTACCTGAGGTCTGAACTGGAAGTTTTACTCAGACATCCACAAAATTCAGTACAAATGTGCTGTTTTGACCAGGCCCTAATTTCATTAAAACTGCTAAAAACCATTGTGGATTGACACCCGGCAGTGTCTGTCCTTGCTTCAGTGCAGTATTAACAACTTGCCTTCCTTTCTGCCTGCCTTGTTTCTCCAGAGAGTTCAAAGCCATCTAAGAGTTCCACTCCTGTTCTGTCCAAGCAGTCAGCCAGGTGGCAGGTCTCCAAGGAGTTCTACCAGACTGAGAGCAACTACGTAGACATTTTAAGCACCATCCTACAGGTAGGTGTGAGTCTGTGAGGTGTGTTTGCACAATGTGGACAATTCTAACCCTCCCTCACAGGTCAGCCAGTTGGTTGCCCTCGACAGCAATTGAAGCTAAGCTACAATCATTAAAGGTGTTTGTGTTTGCATGCTCTCACTTGGCCTGGCTTATCAGTTGATCCCAGCAGGGAGTCAGATGGCTGATCAGTGAGGGAGAAAATGACCTGCCTAACCATTTCTCCTTCTGTCTCCCCCCTGCCCAAAATCTTTAGCTTTTTTTAAAGTCTTTCTTAGGCTTCCTCCATTTTGATGTCCTTTTCATTCATTCTTTCTCTACCTGACTCACTCTCTCTCTGCCTCAGACATCTATTTTTAATATCTATATGCTTGATAATTGCCATCTCACTCTCCTGTCATCTGTTTTCTCTGTTGTATTGCACAGGGCTTAACTGTTTCTTGTCCTTACAAAAAGCCTCCTGGTTTTAATTAAATCTGGGAACATAAGGTATGCTCCTTGGTGTCGTGGACTTTTCTGTCTTGAATTAATAAATACAATTAAAAAACTGAACTCACCAACTCACAGCATTGTGCCATAGATTCACTACCGTGCCATTTATCGAAGGAGAACAAAGTTGAGGCTGTCTCATAGTACTGTTGATTACTGCCTGTTTCATAGTCAATCCATGCTCCCTTTTCACTTCACAGTTACAGTGACGGGAAAATATACTTGATCTATATTTCTGAGTGCAGCAGTTGTCTTTTTCATCTCACAGCCATTTACTGAGGCAGCAGATAGTATAAGCCTGTGTTCAGATGAGCAGCAGACAGTAGACTGCTAATTGGATTTCATTTTTCAACATGACACAACAGTAACACAGGCTGACTTCCAATGAGGGGATGGCACTAATATTGTACAGTAAACTATCAATGGCGAGCCAAATTATGTCATTCACTACTCTTTTTTTTATCCCCTCCAAAAATAATTTTTATTTGTGTAATCCTGGGACTAGAGTTGTCAAAAGCATCGATACTGAAAAGTATCAATGCTCAAACGCTGTATCCGGATACAATACTAATTTACAAAAGTATCGATACTAACAGTGCACGCCACCTCAGCGCCTGTCAGGTGCGCGTGACGGGTCCAACGGACCCGCGCTGTGCAGGCAGCGTCTGGCAGGCACAGAGCCCTCACTGCAACCCCGCTTGTTGTCGTCGCTGTGCATGCATGCACACATTTCTTTTGCTGTAATATGGCCAGCGCGGCTGCAGGAGGATCAGAGCAGCCAGTTTTGGTCAAAAATGATAAAGGAAAAAGCGCTCTTTGGAAATATTTAGTGAAGTGAACACAGCACACTGCAGACGGCAGGTACAGCCCCTCCCCTCACTAGCAGCTGAGCAGCTGGTGTCGCCAGCATCAAACTAAAATATAACATCTGACGTTAATGTGGGAGCTAAGCAGAAAACTTTATCAGTCATGCCCGTCTGTAACATTAATAGACAATGTTAGTTTAACAGGACAACACAATTATGTGTGTCTGAAAAGTTATGTTAACTGTAAAGTCACAGATTGAAGCTGAAAAAAAAAGTTTGGTTTCTCCCGTAACCCCTGGTTCTCTGATCACATAGTGAGGTAGAAACAGGAGCATCAGTGCAGTGCAGTGCGAGCATTTCACTTGCATTTGCCCCTAAAAATATATGTGCGAACCGGGAAAATGATTTAGGTGCACAGTGTGTGAGTAAACACAACATACTGTTTAGGGATGTCCCGATCCAGCTTTTTTCACTTCCGATCCGATACCGATATTACAGCCTTGAGTTTTGGCCGATACCAATACCGATCCGATCCAAGCGCGTATTATACATATTCACTTATTTTGTTGTCAGTCATGTTAGAAAAGGTTTGATCAAGCGATATTACTCTAACAAGAACAACTATTTAATTTGGTTAGTTAGAATGATCCACAATAGTTGGTATGTGAAACTGACCTTTTTATTGTTAACAGGGTTAAATAAACAAACTTTAAACTTGATCATTAACATTAAATAAAAAATATAGCTAGTTTGCTTTGGCTGCTTTGGCCCCTTAATAAATAGAAAATAAATCAACACCACAAGACATTGTTGACATTTAACAAACAATGCAGCCTTTCTTTTTCAGTTATTTTAGTAGTGTCAGTGCAAGCCTGGTGCTGCTGTTTCCTGGGACCAACAGAGGGGACAAAAAAACCACACACAATATCACTCTCAAAAAAACAGAGCAGAAAACAAATAGTCAGTTAACTAAATTGACCGCAATTCTTCCTACCCTCCGTGTGTGTCTGCCATCTGCATGCTGGCCTGGTGGATTGATAGTAAGAGCTGGAGCGGATCACTGGAATGGACTTCTTGACTCGCGGAGAGCTGGGCTGGAAAACCTGGATCGGACACCGTGAAAAACTGGATCGGAGTTCTTGGATCTGCATTTTCTCATGCAGTCCGATCCGATGCCGATGCACGTTTTTTGCTAATATCGGCGGCCGATACTGATGGGAATATCGGATCGGGACATCCCTACTACTGTTTACCGTACTCGGCATTGGACGTTTTTTCATTGATAACCGATCAAATAAATGTATTTTAAAACTCGCTCCTTTGGCTCTGACACAGCTGTCTCCCTCCCTGCCTGCAGTCCCCACTGCACTGGGCTTTGTAACAATGTCCTGCCTACAGCCCCCTCTGATTGGTTACACGGCACAAGTGATAGCCAGTCAACACTGATGCCTGTGCATGCTTTCATCATGTCACATTGAGACACAGAGCACAGACGGAGCAGGAGAGGCTCCGGTAAACCAGCAGTAATTTTGAAGGTGAGGTAACAGAAACCAGACAGAACGAAAGTTGCAATAAAAATCCTCTATGCTGAAGTTTTAAAGTCACCACCACAACATTATATGATCCATTTCAATGATGACATGCTCGCCCAGAGGCGAAATTTTGACGTAACTGCCTGTTTAATTCACATCAAGCGCTATACAATTTTGCAAACAGCCTAAATGATTTAGCTTCTAAAAATAAATAGCACCAAGGCAAAAAAGAGATGTAGGAGCTATAAGTCAAAAAGTCTGGTAACCACTGAAAGTTTGATCTTTATTTATAAACTCATTAAGCTATAAAAGTTTAATCTGAAAAGTAACTACTAAAGCTATAATCTTTTTGTTCGTTTTGATAATAAACACGTTCCTTTGCAACACATACATTTCTATTTTTTCATTTTGTGGCCGCAACACCAAGCCCCCCGCTCTGGAAAAGATTTCAGATTTCAGGCACACAAATCTTCCGTGCTCCACATTTCAGGCACAAAATTTTTTCTTGCTTTAACCCCTGAAATACATTTGTATGGACAGATCTTGTTTCTGGTTGTTATTTATTTTGGGGGAATTTTTGTTGTTATCATTGATGTTACTGTTCTGATCTTTATTTAAAAAATGACATGCCTCATAATTTTTTGCTCATGTATCGAAAATGGTATCGAGTATTGAATATTTTCCTGGGTATCGATATTGAGTTTGAAATTTTAATATCGTGACAACCCTACCTGGGACATGAATTGTTTGCACAGAATTAAAAAAGTACAGATGGTAATAATGATTTAAGGCCCTGCAGTAGATTGAAACCAAACCAAAGCTGACTGGCTGAAATCCTAACTAAACTCAACGAGGAGTGCAGTGATCTACTGGTTTTAAGGTATACCATGATATAAAGCCCTGTTTCCACCAAGCAGTCTGGTACGGTTCAGTTCAGTTCGGTGAGCAATTTTTCCATTTCCACTGTGAAAGGCTATGGATGGTACCAGTGCTAACCGTCCCCATTTTTGGTCACCCATCTGTTGGGGTTCCTAGGACTAGGCCTGTCGCGATGCGATAAGTCGGTTAATTGCACGGTAAATTTAAAGGGAGATGGTAACTTTTCCGGCCGCGATTAATTGCGGTTCAGAACGTTCACTGCTGTGCATCGTCTGGCAGCCAGGTGAGTTGGTTCATTAGCGTCATGAATGGAGGGAAGGCTCTTGTCATCGAGTGTCTTTGTCTCTGTGGGGGAGGCGGGGCTATGGGCTACACACACACACACACACACACACACACACACACACACACACACACACAGTGGTCTAAATCCAGCAAAGTTACAACAATATGGGCTTAAAAGCACAATATTACGCAATATTATCGCTTATCCCAATGATTTCTGATGCAATTAATTGCCCAGCAAAATTTGTTATCGTGACAGGCCTACCTAGGACGCAGATTTGGAACTAAAAGGTGGAGTTAGACACACTGCAGTCTGTTGATTGGTCAATAGAGGACGATCACTCTTGCTCAGGGCTGAGTTGTGGCTGGTTTTGAAACTTATATAACCATTGTTCATACCGTGGCAAGTGATACAAATATTAGTAAACAATAATTATAGATTGAAAGGATGTTTTGCTGCCTCTTGCAGCAGTTGTAGACTGAGGAAAAAATAATTTAATTCACTGGGCCGACTGCTGGCAACTTTGCCAGTCCGCCCCCCCTCCCCTACAGATTCGAGGTTGCTGCTCTGTGCTGAATTGCTGTGTTGTGCTCCGGCGTCCGGCAAAAATAGAAGTCCTGCGTATCTGTTGCGGAGGGCTCCGGGGTGCCGCAGCTGAGACGGAGCCGGAACGCAGCACAGCTGCAGCCAGTGGAAGCACACACATTGACTAGAACTGAATCCTGTCGGCTCTGCTGCCATGCCGGAGCGCAGATGCAACCAACACGCATCTGGTGGAAATTGGGGTTGATTTGTTTGCCCACGGGCGGCTGCCGTGGCAGGGCCGCGTCGCCGCATCCTTGATCTTCAGTTTTCCAGCAGACCGTTCAAGCAAGTCCGGCTTCTCTGCTGCTGCCAGGATACAGCTGAGGAGGAGCCGGCTGCTAATGCTATGTGCCGGGACACTGCTAATGCTGCTTGCTGTGCTGCTAACGTTTGTTTCTCAAAAAAATCAGTCGGGTCGATGACCCACCTGCACATGAGCTACAATGTATGATCGAAAATGAATAAGAGTTGAAAGTATTCGAAATGTCCATCCCCGTCTAGCTCTGATGCTAGTTAGCCAACTTTGGCTAAAGCTTACCTGTCGAGGAGAAGAGTAGCTACTTCGACAGCCGATTTCAAATTCATCTCTGCTTTCAACCATCTCCACCGTTCAAAAGCATCTCCTATATAGACCCTTGCTTTGCCTCGAGTTTTGTCTTGGCGTTTTTGGGAATCTTAATGAGGTCGTTTGGGTTTAGTCGCACCGTCAGCCATTGTAGCTCAGTCGTAACTGTAACTGATGCTGAGACTCTACTGACTGTGTGACTGGTAGACGGCGGTGGGTGGCCAAAACAAATTCAAAACATAAACATGATTTGCAGACCGTAAACATTTTTTTTAAATGCGAATATTCTGGCTGTACTGTTGTCAGTGAGATCAGTATGTTATATGAACATTATTCCTTAGTCTCTGTGACATATTAGGATGATTTTACGACTATTTGCTTTAGATTTCTTACATATGACTCCTTTAATCTTCTAGCGTTTAAAAATATATATTCATTTCAACCGAGTTATGTGAACTGCATATATTCTAATCCTCACTTGAATAAAAAAAAGCATAGAAGAGCATTGTTGCTGTGAGCTACTGCAACACTAAACCCAGGCCCTTACCTGAGAAGGACTAAATGCACAAACCTGCTATTTTAGATATCCTACCATGAGAGACTCTCACTGCAGCCTGTTCTTTTTTGTTCTGAAAATGTCGCTTTGCAACCCCATTCTGTGGATGATAAATGAGGTGCAGACTTCCCTGTGTGTCACTGGTGAAGAGGAAAGCGATTGCTGGACAGAGCAGTGAGTGACAACAACCTCACCCACATTTAAGAGTGCCATTTGCGTTGGAAATGCTAAACGGACCGAGGGTCTGGGTACTATGTCTAAAGGGTTCCAAAGGAATCATACTGAAAGTATTAAGTGGAAAAAGGGAGAGAGACAATGACAACTAATGTTATAGTCAGAGTTCTCATATTGAAATTTAAGGTGGGTTGTTATTTTTTTCCTCAGGTTACAGCTGCTGCGAGAGGCAGCAAAACATCCTTTCAGTTTATAGTTACTGTTTACTAATATTTGTGTCACTTGCCACGGTATGAACAGTGGTTACATAAGTTTCACAACTTTTAGTACAGAATCAATGTGCCAGGTACCCCAGCAGAGGGGTGACTAAAATGGGGTTGGTTAGGATTGCTTCTGTTGGTACCATCCACAACTTTAACAGCTGAAACAGAAAAAAATGCATACCAAACTAAACTGTACCATACCAGACTGCTTAGTGGAAATGAGGCTAATGTATGCTCACCTTTTATGCTCCACACCTTTAGGGGGTTTTTACTGTTATCTAAAGTATTCACAGATTTCTCTTCTTCTCTGAAACATACAGACCGTGTGATTTCGATTGATGGAAATACAGAATTAAGCAGTTTCATGTTACAAATCCAAATATCATGACACTGTTTTGCACATCACTGTGGGCAGCTAGTCCAATACACGCTAATGTGGTGTCACCTTTTTTCTCCAATAACATCACATCCAGACGTTCAGGAGGTATTTATCGGAGACTGAATTATCCATAGAGGTCTCTTCCTTTCCAGAGCAAACAGACCACGTGATTTGCAGTGCTACAAACAGTGAATAAAGCAGTCTCACGTTACAATTCAGTGCATTTGCGGCGTGAATGGCCTTAAGTGGAGCCAATGTTTGGTTGGTCCTTTCTGGGCTACTGTAAAAACATGGCACTGCAACATGACAATCTCCATAAACGAAGGCCAGTTCCCCATGTAGAGATAAACGACTCGACGATATTAAGGTAACAAAAACACAATGAATCCTATTTTTGGGTGATTATACACCGAAGAAAACATACTTTTTATATTCCATTTCTGCCAAAATATCTCCTTAAACCCACTGGACCTTTAAAAGTGATAACAAACAAGTAAAAACATAGTGACTAAACATTAACCCATCCTCCCCTAACATTGTGATTAAACACCCTGGCTGATTTTGTCCTGTTTCTACAAATTCCTCAACATTTATGATATGATGAAGCCCAGTTGCAGTCTCAACTTATCATCAGTTATTGTTTCATTATCAGTATTAGTTTCATGAGCATTTTATGGCCACTAATGAACGCAAAGTGCAGTTAAGTGCTTGAGTGACTTGCTGTTGCTCATAATGAGATTTTTACACAGATGACAGTTGCCAAAACTACCCTCTAAATGAGTTACCTTTCACTCTCTTAATTGTTCACAAGAAGCAAAGTATAACTACAAGTTAGCAATGTGTCATCTTTGGTCTGGACTAATTAATCTAAGCTCATAGCTAACTTAGAAATGTAACCTCAGATGCAACATGGAGGAATCAACACGTTAGGCTACATCTTGGAAAGACATGTACATGAAAATACAGTGTATAGACAAGATAGATTTGTTTTCTTTCCATCCTAAAGGAACATATTGTACAACTTTGGAAACATCTAGGTCAGGGATACTGAACTTGTTTTGCCTGTGGCCACTTTTGCAAAATGGCAGGAGGCCAGGGGCCAGTTAGTAAACATACATTGATAATGTTTATTAGTGAATATAATAAATACATTTCCAGTTTATAACCTTTCGACATTTGCTGTCCTCACTCATCTTTGCTAAAAGGCAAATCCAATTGCAGCTGCCTGCACAGGTCATGTTTGAGCAGGGGTGTTTCTGGGATTTGAGGACATTTGGGGCTTAGCCCGGACCTCTGTTGGAGGGTCCAAAATCTTCCGCTGGCACTTATCATGTTAAACAAGCTCTGTTTTGGTGCTTTTATGCACTCTGCCACCCCAATGGTAATACATTTTTTTAAAATTGTGAATCAGAAAATGGTTGCCGGCTGTAAGTTGAGTGTCACTGATCCAGAGTATTGCTGTGCCTGCCCCCCCCCCCCCTTTGGCAGTTTTGTGGAACATTTAAATTCCGTAGTGTTTGTGGGCTTCTCTCATAGAAAAGGGGGTTCTCTCATATGTTTTTATTTGTAGCTTTTCAAGCTTCCATTGGAAAAAGAGGGGCAAGTGGGTGGACCCATCCTGGCCCAAGAAGAAGTGAAGACAATATTTGGCAGCATCCCTGAAATCTACGAGGTTCACACCAGAATAAAGGTAGTGTGTCCTCAACTGTTTGTATCAAAACCAAATGTAACTAAATGTGATAGTGTAATTTGTAAAGATGCATTGTTGACCTGTTATTATCTGTGTGTAAAATGTGTTCATCAGAGTGACCTTGAGGAGCTCCTGTCAGACTGGTCTGAGGACCGGAGTGTTGGAGATATCATTCTCAAATATGTGAGTGAAAACAAATCTCCACTAGTCTGCAGATGTTGTTGCTTACATACAAAGTCAATGATATCTGATAGAGTGCCCCTGTAGTTATTCTGACACAGGTAAATTACTATAGCAGTTTGAGGGCAGGCTTTTGTATGCAAGACTAACACTGCCTTAATGGTTCATGAATGCGTTTTAGGGATGTTTTGCTTGTGATGCTGTGTTAAATGACATCATGGGTTGATTGCTTCTGTTATTATAACATTACTTTTATTCATTCTTTAGTTATAAAATATTGTTTTGCTGAGCGTAATGCATATTACAGTAATGCACCATTCGTAGTTACTCAAAATAAGAAGTCACAGTTGACAGTGACAGGCAGGTATGGGGCAACTATTGAAAGGTCTTTCAGTTACAGAGAATACAATTATTGTGACATTGCAAATTATTCAATGGGACTAGTCTGAAAACATCTTGAAGCAAACCAATCCAAATTGTTAGTGATTTAATGTTGTTTCCCCCTTGTGTAAAACCTTGCGCTTCTCTGTGTGTGGATTTCTTCCTCTTGATGCTCCTGACCTGCTCTCATCTACTTTGTTTCCAGTCTAAAGAGCTGGTGAAGGCCTACCCACCCTTTGTCAACTTTTTTGAAATGAGCAAGGAGACAATTGTTCGGTGTGAGAAACAAAAGCCACGCTTCCATGCTTTTCTCAAGGTAGGACCTCTGGATTTGTTCTGTATCAGGGTGTCTGCAGGTCCTTAAAATGTCTAAAAATGTCTTGAATTCAGTTCTACAAAATATTAAACCTTAAAAGTCATTAGTCTTAAATTTGAATTGTGAGGTTTTAATTGCCGCACACATTGGATCTAATTTCATTTATTATATTATTTATCCATTTTTTAATTTCTCTTTGTCAAAATGAGTCAAGCTCTTCTGTTTGAAAGTCCTTATCTCTGATTATACAAATCTTCAAGCCTACCCTTCAAACTAACACTGTCTTTTTACTTAATGCTTGCACTTACCTGTTGGCAAAATGTAGATTAACGTAACTCACTCACTCACGCTCACCGACAGGCCAACTTTAACCGAAGGCCAGGCGCTGGCTTGGTGTGTCAAGGCCTTAATGCCATATTCCTAGACCTACCTCTGCAGGGGAACACATGACTACTAAGCTGTTGAGTTGTTTTGATAGTGAATTTGATGGCTGTGCATGGACGTGAGCAGAACAATTAAAAAAAAAAAAACGAAGAAAAAAATATTTGTGTACTTACTAGTGCTTGCACAACAAAGAAATTATTTGTCCAAAAATCTGTTGTAAATTGGTTTAAAAATATCTTGAAAAACTTAACAAAAGCATGTAAGTGTCTGACACCCTGTTGTATGTTTGTTTGCCTGACGGATGGATGGCATGTAAAGATAGATTTTGTATTACAGACTTGAAAGGTGTGGTAAATAAATAAAACAGGAAAACCTAATGTATATGATACAACTTCCCACCTACACCACAAACTATAGCCTTGTCAAGCACCTTCATTTGATATATGTCATCTCTGTAGGGCAGTCTCAATCTGTCTGGCTCACAATCCCCTAAAATGAGGGAATGTGTACTTGTTAGTTGTCAGAGGTTGGCAGTTGCGTGTGTGTGACAGAAACACTTTTCTTGTTTCCTATCCTTTTATATTACTTCTCATTTATCGTGGTTCCTTCCTGCTCAGAAATGTTGGTCTACTACTATTGTAAAGTTCATCCGTCAGTGCCTTTACGTGCACTTAAGTAACAGAGTGTATTCAAGCAAGCTCATTTATTGAATGCCATGTACAGTACAGGCCAAAAGTTTGGACACACCTTCTCATTCAATGCGTTTTCTTTATTTTCATGACTATTTACATTGTAGATTCTCACTGAATGCATCAAAACTATGAATGAACACATGTGGAATTATGTACTTAACAAAAAAAGGTGAAATAACTGAAAACATGTTTTATATTCTAGTTTCTTCAAAATAGCCACCCTTTGCTCTGATTACTGCTTTGCACACTCTTGGCATTCTCTCTATGAGCTTTAAGAGGTAGTCACCTGAAATGGTTTTCCAACAGTCTTGAAGGAGTTCCCAGAGGTGTTTAGCACTTGTTGGCCCCTTTGCCTTCACTCTGCGGTCCAGCTCACCCCAAACCATCTTGATTGGGTTCAGGTCCGGTGACTGTGGAGGCCAGGTCATCTGCCGCAGCACTCCATCACTCTCCTTCTTGGTCAAATAGCCCTTACACAGCCTGGAGGTGTGTTTGGGGTCATTGTCCTGTTGAAAAATAAATGATCGTCCAACTAAACGCAAACCGGATGGGATGGCATGTCGCTGCAGGATGCTGTGGTAGCCATGCTGGTTCAGTGTGCCTTCAATTTTGAATAAATCCCCAACAGTGTCACCAGCAAAACACCCCCACACCATCACACCTCCTCCTCCATGCTTCACAGTGGGAACCAGGCATGTGGAATCCATCCGTTCACCTTTTCTGCGTCTCATAAAGACACGGCGGTTGGAACCAAAGATCTCAAATTTGGACTCATCAGACCAAAGCACAGATTTCCACTGGTCTAATGTCCATTCCTTGTGTTTCTTGGCCCAAACAAATCTCTTCTGCTTGTTGCCTCTCCTTAGCAGTGGTTTCGTAGCAGTTATTTGATCATGAAGGCCTGATTGGCGCAGTCTCCTCTTAACAGTTGTTCTAGAGATGGGTCTGCTGCTAGAACTCTGTGTGGCATTCATCTGGTCTCTGATCTGAGCTGCTGTTAACTTGCGATTTCTGAGGCTGGTGACTCGGATGAACTTATCCTCAGAAGCAGAGGTGACTCTTGGTCTTCCTTTCCTGGGTCGGTCCTCATGTGTGCCAGTTTTGTTGTAGCGCTTGATGGTTTTTGCGACTCCACTTGGGGACACATTTAAAGTTTTTGCAATTTTCCGGACTGACTGACCTTCATTTCTTAAAGTAATGATGGCCACTCGTTTTTCTTTAGTTAGCTGGTTGGTTCTTGCCATAATATGAATTTTAACAGTTGTCCAGTAGGGCTGTTGGCTGTGTATTAACCTGACTTCTACACAACACAACTGATGGTCCCAACCCCATTGATAAAGCAAGAAATTCCACTAATTAACCCTGATAAGGCACACCTGTGAAGTGGAAACCATTTCAGGTGACTACCTCTTGAAGCTCATCGAGAGAATGCCAAGAGTGTGCAAAGCAGTAATCAGAGCAAAGGGTGGCTATTTTGAAGAAACTAGAATATAAAACATGTTTTCAGTTATTTCACCTTTTTTTGTTAAGTACATAACTCCACATGTGTTCATTCATAGTTTTGATGCCTTCAGTGAGAATCTACAATGTAAATAGTCATGAAAATAAAGAAAACACATTGAATGAGAAGGTGTGTCCAAACTTTTGGCCTGTACTGTATATGAAAAGCCTAAGGTATTAGAGAAACCTGATTATGTGGCTATATTTCTTCTGAAGGTGAGAGGAGCAGCCATATAGCGATGAGTCCTCCTGTTAAGAATAATTCCATTCAGTCAACACTTAGAATCTAGGTTTTTGAAGTCTATGTTGGTTTTCTAAGATGAGTATTTTGCCGTTTGTTGATTCAGACACTTTTGTGCTGGAGAAGGCGTGTGTTAACCACTGAGACTGTCCTCACTTCTCTGTCAGTTTGCTCCAGCACACCCATCCAAACAAAAGTCAGATAGCAGGATTTTGTATAGCTACTTCAATTCAAATAAGTTTCCAAAATAAGGTTGGGGAATGGCAGAAATCCAATTCCTGACCTGCTGTGGGCTGTCTATTAAAATAATGATGAAAATGATTTAGAAGTTTCTCAGAGCTGTCTTCATAAAATGCTTTTTGAACAGATAGACTTGAGCAAATTGACCTTCATTTTGCTGGTGGCTAGCATGCAGTGCAAACTTCTGTCTCCCAATTCAAACTGCTGCGTAGGCTTACACAAATACACATGCTTTAACATGAATGCTTTTCATTGTGTCACAATGAATTCTACAGATCAATCAGGCCAAGCCAGAGTGTGGTAGGCAGACACTAGTGGAACTGCTCATCAGACCTGTACAGAGACTGCCTAGTGTGGCCCTTCTTCTTAATGGTAACACACACACACACACTCCTTTGTTAAAAGAGTTAAGAATAGAATATTTTTTTATGCTAACTATATCCCTCTTTGTCTTTTTCTCCTTATCTTCCTGCTTCCATACCTGCCTCCTTCCTCCATTATCTCTGTTGATACCTGTCTGTAATTTCTCTTTCTCACTGTTCTTTTCTACTCACCTTTCTCAACATGATTTTCATCTCTTCCTGTATGTCTGCTTCTTACCAAATTTTCCCTTTTTTTCACCCTTTCAGACATAAAGAAGCATACGTCAGATGACAACCCGGACAAAATAACACTGGAGAAAGCAATTGAGTCTCTGAAAGAAGTCATGACGTGAGTTGGCGTGACCTTACCCTTTCTTTTGTGATGACCACACAGACAGCAATATTTGATCAATTCCAACACCTCGGATGAACTATCTACTCTACTCTTATTGAGCATATTGTATTTTCAAATTTTAATAATTAGCCATTGTTAAGATTTTGCAAGAAACAAGTGACATTAATTGATTTTTTTTGTTTTGTTTTGTTTTTTGAAATGTTTTAACCTTTGACATGTGTACATCCAGGATTTGGTGAACTTCTTGATATTTCAGAGCATTTTCAGATCATCAGGAGGTCACATACAGTGCTGTGTGACACATTATGCTCAAAGTGAACTGTTGTCACTTTAAGTGAACTGTTGTCACTTTAGCCACCTGACCTTTAAAATTAAAAATAAGTAATTTATGGCATGAGACTTACAGTTGTAGAGGATTGGGTTTTCGTAGACTCAGGAGTCAGTCTTTAGACGCTTTGCTTAACTAAAGACTGATGACTTTCTCCCTGATTTTGTGTTTAGATGGGCGGATACAATTTCAGAGTTTAAAAAAAACTCCCTACGTTGCAGAACCAATAGTAAATCTGCAGGGCGGTCCTTTCGTGGCTCGCTGAACTCTTGTGCTTGTAAACATAATCCCACTAGAAACACGTATAGCGGTACAAAATGGCTCAGTCGTGCTCGCAGAAAACGCCATCAGAGTTATTGGATGTTTGTCGCGTTTGCGGCGACACATTCTCGCCAACTAAAAGAAACAAACATAATCTTTTACAAGGCCATGACTCATCCGTCCGGCCGGACTATAGAGGGATTCGCCTTGTTTACAAATAGCCTACTTCCGGGTAGAAAACCAGCTTTTAGCTAGCCTATATATATAGCTATATATAAATAGCTAAAAGCTCTGCTGGTTTATATATATCACATTTTTGACAGGGACAGCTAACACTAGCAGCAAAGCTAACAACAGGGCGTTATCTGTTAAAAGCTTTCCATTGTCGGATACGACATGAAACTACTCCAGTTAGCTCAATCATGTTGTAACTAAGACATCCGCTGGAAAAAATATTTTCTTTATGGATGAGCACACTTTTGATAAAACTGAGTTTATTCTCTCTGCATCCATTTTTAAGCTTTCTGTGTGTTTGTTTCCTTGCGGACGAGAAAAGGGGGAGCGCACATTTCCGAGAAGGCGTGTCCTTTTCAAAAATGCAAGAGGCGTTGCTGGCCGTTTTCGCCGATGTGTTAAACACACTTTAGAAAGGAGTGTCCCCAGACTATCAGAAGGTGGAGATCTCTGATTGTCTGGTGGCGAGACTAGGGTTTTCGTTTCTTTAGAAGGGGCCATTTATATCTACATACACAGTGAGTCCTCCTCCACTGAGTCTGCCACATTGTTTCTACAGTAGCCTGGAATCGACAAATCAAACACTGGCTCTAGATAGGGCCAGTCCCATTTTTTGTGTAGATCTCTAAGGCGCTTGGCACACAGGAGAAGTTGCAATGTGCAACCTTACTGCTAGATGCAGGCTTAAAGTACTCCAGCGTGGTGCTGGACTTCTGGCTTGAGGGACATTTCTAGTATTTTTGTTTTGTTTTGTTTTTTTGTGGCAACAACTTGGCATAAGTTAGCATTTAACGAATTATCTTCTGATTTTCAGTGAAGCACATGGGTAGTTCCAATAGTATAGTGTTATCAAACTCAGCTGGCCAATAAGAGCTGAGTGGGGAGGGTCTAAAAACAGCACACACACACACACACACACACACACGGACAGGGTTTCAACACACACGCACACACGGACAGGGTTTCAACACACACTACTTCCAAGCACATGTTGTTTAGGTGTCCGTTACAGCCTGATATCCAAATGAGTGTGGGTGAATGTGCAATCGAAATGGACAATTGAACTGCATTTGAATGATTAGCTTGTGTTAGCTTGACCATCAGCTGTCAGACACTAAGACAAAACAGCATGCCGTGTGCGTTTTGTGCAACAGGTGGATGCGGTAGTCTACCGGTAGGGTAGAGAAACAGAGAACTAGTTTCATGCTAGGAAAAAACTCACTCCTCCTTAATAGGAACTTGTGCTCAGTATTGCTTTGCACATATTTTTTAATCTTTATTGCCACAATAGAAAGAGCACGGTCAGGGAGGAGAAAGTGGACCAGAGGCCAGCAAGGATGATCTTGCAGGGTCTTCACAGGTGAGGAGAGATTATAACTGGCTGAGAGAATATATCTATAGCATAAAAGTGACTTTGCGATTAATTTCCACAGCTATGTCAAAAGGCATTTGGAGAGCTTTGTAAATGTCAAAAATTAAATGAAATGGCCTAGGTCTAGGCACTCTTAGACTTGCATTGTCTAGAAATATATCATGAAATGCTCTTTAGACTACAATAATACACGAAATATATTATTATTCCCAAAATAATATTTTAGTTAGATTTTAATCAAAATATATTCAACCATTTCAGCCATGAATTTTGCTTTACATCCAAAATGCGTCTTGTGTCTATAAAGTAATAGGCTATATGCCACATAGGCAAGTCCTAGTTTCTGGTTTTCACTAGTTCAGTCACTCTGAGCTGAATGCAGGTTCACTTGTGAAGGCCTTGCAAGTCAGGGTGGCTTTGAATGAATGTCGGTATTGCCCATCTCCAGAATGCTACCCGTAAACCCACCAGAATGCAGGAAATCACATCTACCACATCCAAAATTTTCTGGGGGAGGACCCCCAGACCCCCACTATACTACCATTGTCTCTCTCTGTATGGTATTTGTATGTAAGGTTTTAGGCCCTATCCATCTCCAGCAGGCGCCCCAAAAGTCCGTTAGGATGCGGGGGATCACAATCGCATCTACCAAATCAGTTGACAAACAAAAATTTTATGTGTCAGCTTAAACAACGAAATTGTACTCAGCCCCGCTGAATCTCACTCCAGTGTTTTTTGAAAAGTTGGCAACCCATTGCTAGGTGCAATACAGTAAAGAATCAGCAAAACTGAGGTAAGTGTGGGTCAATGGGTTTCAGGTTTCAGGCTCAGGAAAAGTTTTCACTTTAAGCCCTATAGATGCTACTAGCTCCTTTACACAACACCTTCACATTTGGCAATGTAAATGCATGGCTCCCCTCCAGTTAATTGGTTTTCAGGTGTGATACTTGCTGCTCTTTTTTAAATGAACTCTACTAGTGCAGTGCCCGTTCAAAACACGCCTGCTCGAAACGGGCCCATTGTTTGGTGTTCTTGCTCGCAGCTTTCTTGAGAACTGCTCATCCAAACAACTTCATAGATATAGACCTGGGCCCCAGACAGCTATAGAGTTATGATGATGTTTAGATATGAAAAACATTGAATTATGTTGCTGTTCTACCTCAGTGTACACTGAAATACCATACAAAGACCCCCAAAGCACCTAAAAGATATGCATCTCAAAGGTATACTACTTATTTACTGTGTATTATTTACTGTGTATTACTAGGGGTGTAAATCACCAGTTTCATCACGATACAATATTAAATTGATTGTTTTGACAACAGTACAATATCTTCCGATATTACAAAGTCTGCCATGATAGGATTTCGATTTGATAGGACTCAGGGGTCTGTGATGGATATTAGGTGATATTAAATGCCCATTTAACACAGTCAGTGACAGAAGATGCTGCCACCCCTTTCTTTTTTACTTTGGCCATAAAACACATAAATAAGAAAGCACCTCTAAATCAGTCAGTTTTTGTGTTTCTGCGAGGGAAACGCCATCTCATGGTGACACCTTGTAATTGAATAAATGGGTGCGTTACAGTGGAATCTAGGCACACCCCCAGAAAGGTGGGGGGAATGGTATTTGGCTGGAAGTTGGCTGGACATTGGCAGGCAGCCGGAAGGCTCTCGGATGGCGTGGGAAATATGAAGTGGCTGCATCCGTAATGAAGAGTTTGGTTGTAATGTTAGCATATCCAGCATCTGAATTGCAGTCGGTGAGCCGCGGCTGGCTGGCTGCAGATGACGTACTGCTCATTCTACAGAGTCCTGGGCTTCCTTGGGTCCAGGATCAAAGTGTTCATTCCAAAAGTTACATCGCTGATGCTTGAAATGTTTGCTACATGAAAAATCTCCAGGCTCTTTCTTTATCTGTTGTTGACTGTACTGTATCAAGCAACAGAGGCTCCTTGCTTATGTAGGTGAAAACACGCTCAACTCTGCAGAACTCTGAAGCCCTAGCCCTGCCTCTGCACAGAGCCACAGAACACTGTTCACTTATTTATTTAAAGTTTATTAATACTGAACATGTTGTGTGTCTAAATTTCACCAAATTTGACAGTTCATGTCTTTGGTTCCCCAGCAACACACCCATCAAGTGTGATGGGTGGATATACTTACACACAATACAAACGGACAGAGATTTCTTGCTTTATATTAAGATTAAGATGTATGGTCAGTCATTGATAGAAACAGCACAGGGCTACTGATACAAGTCTAGCCTTAAACTAACTTGATTCACACTAAATTCGCTAAAACCAAGCCCCAAGGACAGCAAGCTTTGAGGCCTATTTGACACAGTGGGCCAAAAGTTGAAATTACAACTCCTGGGTTCATCACATGATGCCATTAGGTCTCAAAAGACCTTTTCATATATACTAACATTGTGAAAGAGACATCTATAAAAGAGTGGATTTTTAAGCACCACAACCAACCAGCAGTCCAAAACCCAAAGATGTTCAATTTAAAATGATATTTAACAAAACCCTTAGTTTTTAGAGGGTGGAACCAGCAAACATTTGGCCTTTTTCCTCGATGAAGGTATACAAGTGATGGATTATCAAAATTGTTGCAGATTATTTTTCTTTTGGTCAACTAGATGATTTCTTGGCTAATTCTGTATTACCTGAGATTAATAATTACATTATTCCTTCCCTTCTCTAACTTCCCTTTCCTCCTCACTAGTCACATCAATGAGGACAAGAGGAAGACTGAAGGCCAGAAGCAGATCTTCGATGTTGTATACGAAGTTGATGGCTGTCCTGTAAGTTTGAGGGATATTCCGTATAAAAAATATAGGTCATAGGTTTTAAAGAAGTACTTGAGATTAAATGCATGTGACCTTAAAATCACTAGAAAGTCTTCCATTGCAAATACTTAGTATTGTGGTATACACTATTCATTAATCTAATTATGCTGAGACTGTCTAATATGTAGAAATAATTGGAATTTTTTAAAGAATCAACCTTGGGTTGAGACTAAAACAAATGAACCCTGTTGCGCTTCTTTTCTCCAGAACCTTCCCATCTACTGTCCAATAGTTTATATTTTATCCAGTTTTCTCCTATGTACGCCTCCCGCCCCCCCCCCTATCAGCGAGGCAGTCATGGTACTGCTGAATTTTCTCTTTTCTAATCTCATTTCTCTGTGTCTCTCTTTGTTTCAGCCACAGTTCTCCACACTTTCCTTTAACTTCCTGTCCTTTGTTTTCTCTGCAGGCCAATTTGCTGTCTTCCCATCGCAGTCTGGTTTACAGAGTAGAAACAATCGCCCTGGGAGACCAGCCCTGTGACCGTGGAGAAAATGTCACACTCTTCCTCTTCAATGACTGCCTCGAGGTGAGAATACACGCAGATGGCAATAAGCATTTACACAGAACACGTTCACACCTGATTTACCATTTTTCTATACGTCAGGGTTAGGGCTGAATTATATGGAAAAATAATCTATTGGCATTTGTTTTTTAATATGATGATTGCAATTTAGTATGCAAGTTTCTTTCTTAAGTAGAGCTGCTCTATTACTACAAAAATAATAATCATGATTATTTGATTGACATTGAAATCACAATTATTTATTACAGTTCTCATTGGCTTTGAGAACATCATGCATCTTCTTTTTAACACTGGATGTCTTTTAACTTCAGATACAGTTAAACTGAAAAACAGTCAAATTAGTTGTGTTGCTTTGTGGTATAGCCAAGACCATGTAACACATCATGTACATAATTGCTGTTTGTTTGTTCTGACTCTTCAAAGTGTATTTCCACACCACAGACTTTGTTTAACCTTTTTTCCTCGACCTTTCTGCCATCTTCTTACAAGTTCTACCAAAGAAATTTCAAATTTATTTGCAACGGAGCATCGGTGGCTTTGTGGATGGAGCGTACGCCCCATGATCAGACGCCTAGCGCCTGATGCAGTGGCCGCAGGTTCAAATCCAGCCTGCAGCCTGCTCTTTTGCCATTAGAGGCAACAAAAGCCCCAGAAATAATCTTAAAAAAGAGGAATTCCACAGAACTGCAGGTTTGTCAGTGTTAATCAGAAATTAATCTAAATTACAGTATGCAATGATTCATGAATACTTTTTATATATATTCAAAGATTCCGCTGTGTAATTGGCTCATTTATGGGACTCAACATCCCATAATAGCTCCATCTGAGAATAAAGGAGATTACGTGAGTCAGAAGACATTTCACAGCAATTCAGCAATTCAGTGAACCTCAGCCTAATATTGACAGAATAACTATGCATAAGCAAAATTTCTCACCAGTCTGTTTAATATCTTTGTGTTTGATTTTGAGTCGCTGCCCAGTGTGTTTGGGCTCCATCAGATTACAGCTGAATAAGAGGATACAGCAAATTATATTAAAATATATGAACTCTGTGTAATGTTTCTGTAGGTTATTTTCTGTATATTAGACACATTAACGCATCACATTACATAACATCACTTCACATTACCTGTTAACACACTCTGCAGTCTTTCCCCATCACACCTCATGCTGTTTAGCTTCAGCTTATGTGTTTTTTTTTTTTTTTTTCTTTTCTTTTCATTTCACGGCCATTAAAATCTCAGACTCTGGCTTTATGCTTTCGGCCACTGAATATCAGGTTATCCGCACTCCACTGATGATGTCTTTCGGTGATTGCCGTGAACGCGCCTCTCTCAGTTCTGAACATATTCAGAGTTGATTGAACTAATTCTGATCAGCTGTTCTGGAACCAAAAGCTCAGAGCTTCTCAGCTCAGGCTCAGTCAACCCGGAGATCGGGATCAGGCTCAGAGTTTGTTGAGCCTGCTTCCTGAAATAGGGCCCTGAACCACATTGGATACAGTCAACATAGAGGCCAGATATCAAATACCATTACACCCCTTGCCCCGACCACTTCGCCCTTACCCCTATGTTTTGCGCTTTCACCCTTAGGGGTAGGGAGTAGAGAAAAAAGGACTTTAGCATTTGCTTTTGCTCAGAAGATAGAAAACCTACAACTACCAGAATGTTCTGCGCCGCATCAGACTAAGAAACGCTCCCGCTGGTAGGTTATGTAATGCAAATTTGTCAGCGTATCCCTATAAGGAAATTTCAAGTATCCTCAAATACTGAGAAATTTCTACTCCTGTACCACTAAGAGCATCTTGTTGGGGAACATCACAGCTTGGTACAGAAACCGCACCGAGCAGGACTGCAAGGCCCTGCAAAATGTGTTTTGTTTTAAGTGAACATAAGTAAATTATATAAATAAACTGATCGATTGATCTTTCTTACTTATATGTCTACTTCATCATTATTTTCTAAGCCAGCTCAATGAATGCTCTCAGTCAACAACAGTGCTATCAGAAAGGATTGTACAATGTCAGGAGATGCCACATCATGTTCATAGACTGTTGAACTTTATTGTTGAAAGTTGTATTTGTCTGTGTTTTTAATATAACAACATAAACAACACCAACAAAACCATGAAATTAAATGGAAGTTATGTGTATGTGTATATTTACAAATTTGATGTGTTGGCTGTGGTTTGGATATTTAATATGATTTTTAGAATTCAATGGAGTTTAACTACATTCTGTTTTGTAAATGGAGAATTCAGTAAGTAGTCGCATTACCTGAACATGCTTTCTATTTTCACCACTTTAGACTCTGATATCATTTAACCAGTGATGTAACCAGCAAGTCCCTTAATACCTCCACCTTCTGTGTCGTTCTTCCTCTGCACCTTGTTTGTTAAGAAAATCTCAGCGTGGATCTCAGCACGATGTGAAACACATGCTGAGATTCATGTGCACATGCAGTGTTGAGTACATAAGGGGCTTTTTGCAGTGCAGCAAGATTGATTGGGTGATCAATTCATGTGTGTAGAGTCTATCTTTGCTGACAGTCTGTGTGTGTGTGTGTGTGTGTGTGTGTGTGTGTGTGTGTGTGTGTGTTAATGAGCAAAGGGGCAGCATAAGAACAGAGCAGGCAATCATGAAAGAGATGAGGTGTGCGCTGCACTGATTGAGGCATGTCAGCAACACTCTGTGTGTGTGTGTGTGTGTGTGTGTGTGTGTGTGTTAAACAGTCATACATGGATTTCTGATATTTTCCATGCCGTCTTGTATGTTTGATAAGTAAATGTTGTGTTGGAGTGGGTGGCTTCACTAATCATTGATTAACTCTTGCATTCATATAACCTCTTCACGCTCACGGCCAAAATAACAATGACCCATGATGTAGTGTCCTATTTTATCCTCTCCTCCATCTCTCTCTTCTTCCCTTCTTCCTCCTCTCTTTTGTCTCTCTCAGCATCTAATTAATGTGGCATTAATGAGTTGCATCGTTTACCTCTACGAAGGCCACATTGATTAATTGCTAAGTAACCGATAGCAGCTTCACCCACACAATGCAAAATGCACCCACACTCAATTCTGAATCACCATGACACACACACACAAGTTGCTTTTCTTCACATTTACCTCCAAAGTTGCTGTCTCACATTGTGGGCATGTGTGTGTTTCTCTGCAGATTGCGAGGAAGCGACACAAGGTGATCAATACGTTTAAGAGTCCGCTGGGACAGACGAGACCACCACCCCCGCTTAAACACATCGCACTGATGCCACTCTCCCAGATCCGAAGAGTGCTAGACCTGCAGGACACAGAAGGTAACACAGAGACAGCATGTGCACGCTGTCAACTAATGAAGCCACTGCGTATCACTTCATCTGCATGTCATTTAGCAGTGTTTTATGTGTCCCTCTCTATTTGCACTGCATTTTAACAATCAAAAATGGTTAAACACACTGTTGGAGTGTCACTGTAATACAGCACAATAGTGGAAACAATGACAAACCTACTCCAAGATCTCTGCTCCATTTAGGGCTGATTTTTTTAGTGTGCATCAGCTCTGTCACTGTGGCCTTTGCTTTCTTGTGCGGTGGTGTGTCTGTGTTAAACCTCTAAACTATTAGTCAGTGGTGGGTTTTCTGTGATTAGTGTGCATACTAAAGTCAAACAATTGGTAACATCTTTTTTTAATTTACCAAATGCCTCTCTTATTAACATCACACAGATGGCGCTCACTTTTTTTTTTTTCAAGTCCCGATGCTCAGAGCAGAGGTTCCGCTATCGACTCTTGTTTATCACTGTACCATGGACGACATGGGAAAGTGAATATTCAACAACATTTGGAGATTTTGCAACATGGCTAAAACTGGTACAAAGCAATGGATATTGAGCTTGGTATTATATATAAGAAAGTTTTTCAAACTCAGCATAATGGTAATCAAGACAGTGGAATCCCACATGCAGAGTGAGAAACAGAAATCGCAGAAAAAAACGCAATGTACAGGATATTTCAAGAATGCCATGAGGGAATTTCTTCAAATTTGGCACAAACGTCCGCATGATCTCAACAGTGAACTGATTAGATTTTGGTGGTCAAAGGTCAAGGTCACTGCGATCTCGTCCATCTCGTTTTTGTGAATTTGATATCTCAAGAAGGCCTTTGGGAAATTTCCTCAGATTTTGCACAAACATCCAATTGAACTTAAAGATGCACTAGTTAGATTTTGGTGGTTAAAGGTCAAGGTTACTGTGACCTTTCATCCGTCTCACTCTTGGGAACATGATATCCCGACATCACTTTAAGGGGATTTCTTTAAATTTGGCGCAAACAAATTCTAGTCCTGTTTATAAACTGCTTCAGGATCACACATTTTACGATACAGTATGAAAAGCTAAGTGAAGGATGTCCAATATTTCCTACATATGCAAGTGTTTCCTACACAATTTAATGTTTCTTTTACATTGTCTAGCCCTGTAGTTTCATGTGAGAACACATCGTTCAGAGATAAATTCTGTCATTACACAGGGAACAGTGATGATTAATGTTTATGGAGTTTGGATGGCGTACTGAAGTTGATTTGACTTGGATGTTTTTTCCTCCATTACTTCTGTCTGCTCTTATCTTTCCATCTGTTTCTCTTCCCTCTCTACCGGTACAACACTTATCCTCCATTGTCCCCATCATTTTCTGTTTCCCTCCCTTCATCTCAATCTCCACACTTCCTCCTGTCTTTTGTCACTGTTCATTATTTTCTCTCTCTCACTCCATCACTGTCTGTCCCTCTCTCGCTCTTCCACTTCCTCCCTTCAGAGTGTGTGAATGCATTTGCCTTGGTGGTTCGCCCTCCAACTGAACAGGAGAACTTGTTGTTCAGCTTCCAACTGGCTGGAGAGGAAACAGTTAAAAGCGCCTGGCTGAGAACGCTTTGCCGCCATGTCGCCAACACCATCTGCAGGACTGATGCGGTGAGAAGTCACGCACAGCGCACACACACACACACACACACACACACGCACACAAAGAAAAGAAAGTAGGTAGTTTGACAGAACAACAGGCATGGAAAGAAGCTGTGATGATGTGAGCTCTGTCATCCTCAACAGCAGTTAAAACTGAAGGAGCCTTTTCCTCTCCAGAAACTTGGTCACATCAAACAATTGTTCCAGTCTTATATCCATCAACATATCTAGTCCTGAGCAAAAAGCTGTACAACTGGCAATTTTGATGTAATGCTAATATTTGGAACTGAAGGACCTACTTTCCATATCTGATACACTACTGAGCTATCACTACGAAAAACCATTGTGATGCCACATAAGTGTATGAGGGTCACCTCTCTAAAATGAATGCAATCTAATAGAACAGTCCTGCAGTAAGCCCTACCATCATGAAGGTTATTATGTTCAGTTTTTATTGAAACCATTTTAGAGAGTGGGGCGGAGCCAGCCGTAAACATTTGGGGCTCAGCCCAAACCTTGGGAGGGTCTGGGGGCATGCTACTATGGGGAGATGTTTTTCCCCCCAGCTATATGCACTATTTTACATTTGAGATATAGAATGCATAAAATCTGTACATCATGTGGGGGAAACATGATAGTTGCCAGGAAAATAAATCACCCTGTAGAGCCTACATCCCACTTCAATTTTTCTCCATCGGTCTTCATCATTCAGAAACCGTGACACAACAGATGTTGAGTATGACTATGTTTTTTTTACTTTTTTAAAAACAGGTAAACATTGTCTTTTAGTATTTTTAAGTTGCATAAGGTAGGTAATTTAGGAATTGGTGTAAACAGCATTACTAATCTTGAACCTTTTTTTGCTATACTATGCTGGAGTAGAGTTCACAGCATGAATGTTTAGCTGACAAATCTGCAACATTTAAAGCTATAGTAGGTAACTTTTTCAGCAAATCTGACAAAATGTGTTTTAATTGTCGCTATCCTGATAGCAGAACATGAGGCAGATAATCTGTGAAAAAAAAATCCTGTTACTCTGTCTCCTCCTCATAGTGCTTATAATGGCATTTGCAAGAATTGAGACAACAACCAGTTAGAGCCGAGGAGCCTCTATTGCAGCTGTCAGTTATGTTAGTCACTGCTCCTAAACTGCGTTCGGATTGTCAAACTTAAGCAGTACTGATCAAATATTAATCAAGACTCTGTTACTGCATTTCTTGCCTTAAATGTTTTCAGAAACATATTTCATTGTACTGTTTAGCTGTAAAATGAAAAAGTTTTGTCTGGCCGGTGGGTGGCACTTGGTTTTGGCTCGAGTGTTTTCAATATGGTGGCCGGGTCGAAAACCTTCTCATTTTGAAGTTAAACAGTAAACTAAAATATGTTTCTGAAAATACAGGCAATGAAGTTTTGATTCATATTTGATCAGCGCTGCCTAGTTTCACAGTTTGAACGCAGTTTATAAGCAGTCTCACAATGGCCTGTGATAAGCCAAAGCTACATTTTCTAGTCCCTAAAAACAGAGGAGAGGTTCAGAAGTCTCATGTTCTCTTAGACCACTTGAATTATAATATCCTCAAAGGTTATTATGGGATTTTTGCATAATGTTGCCAAAATTGAAGTGCCTTCCCCAGGTTTAAATCCATGCCATAATAATCCCCAACAATGACAAGTAAATATGGTCAACAATACTCTGAATTGAATATTATACCAGTGGAAGAAGAAGAAGAAGAGGAACATTTATTCATTTATATTATATTTCTTTAGGCATAGATGGCATATGGCATAGATTCTGGGCTTTTGATCAAACATTTGGAGCTGCAGCCCCAGAAGGTCCCTCACCCCTGCTCCGCCCCTGTTAGAGAGGTGTTGATGCAATCATATGATCATTTTTGAGGAATTAGTTCATGGTGCTAAAAATGTTGTTTCCTCTGTTTAGCCTATACTCATCGATATGGATTTTGTAGACAAAATAATAGAAATACCTATCAAACCTTGCAGTATCATACTGCCCAGCACTGAACTAGTGGCAGTGAGTCTAGTCTCTCCAAGTCAAGTTCAGCATGTTGAATCAGTGACAGCAAAGCCTGTCTGTGAATGAAATCACTCTGATTGGCAGTTCAGCTCAGCGCTCGAAAAGAGAGACTGGAATGACAAAAGTAAACAAAGAACTAAAGTCAGAGGAAGTGAGACCAAAACAAAACTTGTTACATAGGAAAAGATTATTTTTCTTAAGCCACTGGGCTCTTTAGCAGAAACTTTTCCTGACGGTTTGTGTTATTGTTCACTGGCACACGCTAAATATGCTCTGTTCATTCAACATCAAATTGGTTTGTTAATATGCTAACTGGCTAACTAGCATCATGACATTCTTCTGGTTTCCCTTTTTGAATTGCAGTTACAAACTGCCACCGTCTGCTGGTGCGTTATTTCTTCTCACGCAGGTGCAGAACATATGGGCTAGTTGGCTGTCGGGTGACAAGATGATGTCAGACAAGGCATTGGGGAGCCTTTGTTGCCACTAGTTCTCTAAAGTCAGTTTTGTGTGTCTGGGCTTTATCTCTCAATGTCTTTCCAAATAACAATACTACAAGCACATATTCTACAGTTGATTTCTGTCTTTATGTCAGGGATTGGGGGGGGGGTATGTGTGTGAGATGAGTTATCTATCTGGAAAAAGCCAAACTAGGCAAAAGCAAATCCTGTTCCAGTGAACACTAAAGACTGGTACCAGGATCAATTTTTAGGATAACAAGATAAAAAAAAATAGGTCCAGTTATCTCCTGCAGTGATTAACAAATGTTTGCAGGGGAGTTTTTTCAGCTGTAAATTAATAAACATTTGGTGCTCTAGTGAATATTTCCCACAGCAGGACAGTGACTTTGGGATTTTGTTTTTAAATTGTGAAATTAAACTAGTTTGTGTGTTGATGTTAATGAAGGAACATGTCACCCAGTGCATCAGTGTGGCGTTGATGTGTATTTAACTGTTTTTTGACAACATCACGGCACACAGGCTACACAGACACAGCCAATGCCTAGTTGGTTTTAGTCTTTTTGTGGGATTTTTGTGAATATGGGCTGATTAAGCTTAATGATTATGGGTCCAGTGGAAGATATGGAGTTGAGGCTGTCTGCTGTATAGAGCAGAGCAAGCAGCAGGGGGCGATGTTGGCCTCTGGTCTGCCTGCCACCTCACAGCTGCATTCCTAATGCTGTTTTCACTGGGTCAGCGCTACAATGTGAATACCAATGAGATAGAGCCCTGCTTGTTAACAAGCCCACTGCAGGGTGAGGGGGGGAGAGAAATAAAGACTGTGTGTGTGTCTGTGTGTCCTAGCACTCACCTCCTCTTGCAACTATTTTGACAGCAAATCATAATGTATCTGCTGGTACTGATTGCATGAATTGCACACTTCGGGTGATGATTTATTATATTGAGTTTGAGGCTGTTTTGTTTTTTGTTGATTACCAGGAGGATCTGATTCAGTGTACAGACCCAGACTCACTGCAGGTCAGCACCAAGGATATGGACAGCACCCTGAGCAAAGCCTCCAGGGCCATCAAGAAGACCTCTAAAAAGGTAACGGCAAAAGAATCAGTTTCACATCATTATCCTTCTAGTCTACTCCAACTGCACCTCTTCCAAGATGGGCTCATGATCAGGGTTGCAAAGGGCAGGAACATTTCCAAAGGAAGTTGAGCTTGGGATATGGAATTTCAGTTTAAAACGGGTACCTTTAACAGTGAGATTATTTGGGGCATAAACACAACACTAGATCTTATTGCATGTTGCTCAGTGGCTAGAATAGGTGTTCCTGTTGCAGCGGTCACAGGCTTGATTCCCGCTTGTGGCCCTTGGCTGCATGTCAGCCCCCTTTTTCCACCAGCATGGTTGGTTCAACCAACATGGTTGGTGGAAAAGGGGAAACATGGAGTTCTGCTCCATGTTGGAACAGCAACTAATTTTGAATCGTTGAAAGCATTTCCACTAAAAACAAATTGGTTAGAAGCCTGAAAAGCAAAAAAATAGCAGGTTGTTCTTAACGTGTAGTTCAAATAGTGACGACATGAGCAGGCTTTTTATATTCTATAGTTGGAAAGAGATTTGCGCCTAATAGTCTTCTTTGTCGTCTTATAATCATTAGTTGGTATTTTCTGTTTTTTTTTTCTTCTTCTGTTTTTTTGGTTTTTTGTTTTGGATAAATACAAATCTCAGTTACAGAACAAAAGACACGTCCTACCTGGTGTAAACACAGGCTGGTTCATTAGAAAGTACCAAGGTTCCAAGAGGCCTGAACAGAGCCGGTTCAAGAACCAGAACTTATTTGGTGGAAAATTGATATTTGTCAGCCAAAGCGCTACATGTTCTCATGGGAGTTTTGATTTTATTTCTGGAGTGAATATATATTTACTTATGATATTTAATTTAACAAGCTGATATTAGCTTATTAGCCAAGTACACTACTTACGCTACTTAATAAGTTTTGATTCATCTTTTTCCATTTATTCTTTACTGTATACATTTCTTTTCTAGTTTAGTTGTTCACTGAAAAGATTTTAGCATTTTCTTTAACTTTATTTTGATATTGAAAGAAAGAGGGAGACAGAGGAAGAAGGACAGGGAAGAGATGGGATAACATGCAGCAAAGGCAGCAGCAAATAATGAATTATGTCTGTGTGTTTCTATCTGCATATGACATGGTTAATACATTTTACTTTTTAAATCTCCCGGCAGTGGGTTGCACACGCAATACGTCGTCAAAACATCACACCTGTTCCATCCAAGGTCCCATCCTGTTGGCTGTCCCTGTTACACAGAGATTGATTTGGCGGCGTTGCTACCTCCACTGCCGGCTCAAAGGCGAGACAACTCTGTCCCCCCGTTTCACAATTATACTGTTTATACAGAATGGCGAGGGAGGCAGAATAATGGTGCGAAATTCACACCTTGAACAGGCAGTGTAAACAGGGCTTAAGTCCTAATAGAGAGGTGCGATGGAAACGAAGGGCTGCACGCAAGTTTCTGGTAGCATTTCTAATGCTTTTACCTCCAGTGCTGAATACAGTGACGCCAGTTAAAGCCATAGTTGGTAATGTTGGAGAGCTAGCAAGATTTGAAAGCGGCATCTCCTCTAAGCTCCACCCCCTCCTCCCCCTCCCGTCAGTGCTCCGTCCAAAGCCACGGCCCCACACAAGCTTGAACGCGCATCTTGCAGTCAGCAGGGCAGAGGAGAGACAAGTAAAATAACAAATCCCCCCGAAGCAAACAAATAATTACCTGTCCAACAGAAAGACAGCAACCTCTGCATCACTTTTCAGGCCCTTCAGCTCCCTCAGTTGTCTCCACTGTTCAAAAGCTGCACCGATGTTGATGTCTGGTTTGTCCTCTCACTTTATCCAAAGCCTTTTTCGTCGCAGCCTTTTCTGCCTCCGACTTTCTTTTATTAGCCTGTTTAGCGGGGCGAGTCGTTACAAGTAACGCTGGAAGTGGTACTTCTGGCTGCATTTTCTCTGCACATTGTTGAGCAAACTCCTGCTAACTCAGTATTTCTGCTGAGGAGTGTGCTGAATATTTCCGGCAACGGTGACACGTGATGAGTGCACGCAGGGAGGAGGAAGGGAGGGAAGGATGGGGGCTCGGGCAGGACGAGACATGAAGGCATCTGACTGGTTCTTTCCATTTGCACCTAATGGCAGGGCTTGGTCAGAGTTTTTACAGGCCTGCAGCTGCCACAGAGGTCGGATTTTTTTCATTCCTTTTTCTGAACGCGTTATGTATTGACTACTCTCAGAATGGAAGGACCATTTCACCCAGTATAAAAAGAAGTGTTTCTGAATAGGATTACCAACTTTAACTTTAAGCAAGTTTTGAACCAGCGGCTGGTACAGTACAACCTCCTCTCCTGCTGTCCAGTGTGACTGACTCTCCAGTTGACAGAGCTGTCAGCACCCACACAAGAGGGACATGTTGGCCTAAAGTGTCGACTCTAAGTCCACCCGAATGTCCTCATTCGGGTAAAGCCCCAGTTCAGACAGACAGGACTTTGCATATTTACCTCATTATCTAGACTACAGTTTACAAACTATTTCATGCTGAATTACACAGAAACATGAAAGAAATCATGCACAAGACATCTAGTGCAGACGTTTCCCTTTGATGTCATTGTGCCGTAATAAAACAATGGACTGGGTCTGAAATCTGCCTCAGATTCTGTAGCTGCTCTTTCCAGCTCATCCAGAGAGGGCAGCTAAAGGATTTGAATATTAACTGAGAATAAGCACAATACTGCCTGAAAGAATCTTTGGAACAAGCAGACAAAGATATAGTATGTGACATTGTCAAACAGCATGTGGAAAAATGGTTTATCTGACTTTAAAGAAACATTTGAGGGAACAATTGAGAGCGGTGAAGGTTAAGAGATTAAGGAAAGGCTCTGGGGCAGACTGTCTCCCCAGTCATTCTACCAGTTTCTCTTTTTCTTGGTGTTAAAAAGCTATCTGCTTTTCCTGATTCAGAGTATGGTTACTTTAAAAAATGGCTACATATTCTGCTAGGTCAACAGCTGTAATCGCTTTAAGAAATAGGTTTGCATGTTTTCATTTTATGAGTGACAACTAAACAGACACATATAATCACAGCATATCATAGTACTACTGATGAAAAAATATTTGGCCTCGTAAAAAAATCATGACTTGTCAGATGCTGATCCTTCTCAGTAGCTGTCTCAAAGGCTAATAACTTTGTGAAATTGAAGATAGCAGGGAAACTCATAGCTTAACACCAGCCTTTTAAAACTAGTACAGAAACATGGCCCCTTTCAAATTACAATGCTCCCCATTTTTCTGCCAGTCTCATCTTTAAGTTCTTTTCCACTTAAGGTCCACGTTTTGGTATGACAGTAAATGCATTCCTGAACTTTATAATACTACTGTGGTGAAACAACGCCCTAACAATTTTTCTTACTCAGATTAATCAAATAACAAAAATCACTGCAGTTTACAGATTTAATACTGAGCAATCAGGTTACCTGATAAAGTGAATGGAAAAAATTGCAACTTCATTTAATTAACAAATGAACAATATCAATTGTTTATAGAGCCTGACAGATGAATCAGCCAGGTTGAGGTGTTGGCAGATAATAGCTTATTGCGTATATTTGGGTATATACATGTGTGTTTGTCAGTTAATTACAAGAAATGTCAGTAGAGAAATGGCAAAAATATGTTGAGGTCATTTAGAAACAGTGTGACTCTTACATAGTACTGTTAAGATGTATTTTCTTTCAACTGTAAAATGTCCCATTAACTTATCTTCTTTGTCTCTTACTTACCAGATTTGAAATATAATAAACATTAATGTATGTAATGAGTTTATCGCATTTTTTTAAAAGTCCAGTAGGTGAGCTTGAGGGTGATTCAGTGGTAAGAATTCCTTCACTGTTGTTATCCACAGTGGTCTCCTCATCTCCAAAACAAACAGACCAGGTGATTAAAAGTGGTAAAAACACTGAATAAAGCAGTGTCACATTACAAGTGTTTGGGATGTTGGGGATGGGCAGCTTGTGCAATGCCTGCTATGTGTGCTCATCATTTTTCTAATCCAAACATTCAGGAGGTTTTTACCTGGAGCCGCATTATCCACAGATAATGTTTATTCCTCTCCAACAAACAGATTCAGTGAATAAAATTGGTAACAACACTGAATAGGTATATTTATCATATATATTATAATATATTTTCACAATACAAGTCACGATACAATGCCATTGTGATTTTAAATATGTGATGATATGCTGAGTATTACAATAAAATATTATGTAATGTAAATTATGTCTCCAAAGGAAAACTTTGTCAACATCTCTTTTATTTAATAACATAAAGTCTTCAGTCTTCAGTTCATCTCACTTCAGCCTTTTTGCAGCAGCAGCAGCAGCAGCAAAATGTATCTACTAGACAGAAAAAGCAATTGATTAAATTATTCTAGTAGGCTACCTAAAGTTTAATTTGTATTTGTAATATTGATAATTTTTTGAATAAGAAAAATTGATACTTGGCACTGTGGTGATATGATATTGCTGTATCAATTTTTTCCCCCCACCTTTAGTGTTTCTCCAATGTTGTTTGGCCCGTCAGAGATGGCCGTGAGCCTTGCGCCTGCTAATGTGTGCTCACCTTTTATCTCTGATAACCTAAGACCCCGACGTTCAGAAGGTTTTCACTGGGAACCGAAATATCCACAGAGGTCTCTTCTTCTCCTAAATAAACACACCCCGTGATTTAAACTGCTAAGAAATACCAAATAAAGCAGTTTCACGTTAAAAAATCTGTTTTTCCATCGCTGCTCATCATGAAGGGGCCTCTAACTACAGTGACCGGTGCAAAAACACAAATGGGGTTTTGAATTCAGTTAGATAAATGAAATCCGTCAAGATGTAATCTTATCTAGAGCCAGTGTTTGGTTTGTCCATTCAGGGCTACAGTAGTAACATGGCGGTGCAACATGGTGATCTCCATAGATGAGGACTCGCTCCTTATGTAGATATAAATAGTTCATTCTAAGCTAACAAAAACATAACAATTCTCATTTTCAGATTATCATATCTTATAGAAAATATGATTATTATATTATTTTCCATTTCTGCCAATATATGCCCCTAAATTCAACACACTGAATCTTTAAAAACTCCATCGTTATCCGCACTGGTTAGTGTTGAAGACGACTAACCAAGTTAAAGACAATGTCTTGGCATTACCAGTTGTTAAGTGCAAACCTAGCCGTAATACGATCCCTAAACCATATAGAAAGAAGACTTTTGCCATAGACATATTTTGATGTTTTATATCGTAATTATTATTATCATTGAATGGGCTCATTATCCTTTTAATAAATAGAATGTACAACTGTACTCTGTTAATGAATGTTTTAGTGTGTTGTTATAACCATGTAATGCCTGGTAAAGATAGTACTGTAAGTGACGTGTTATGTCACTGTGTTCAGAACAAGTAAAAAACAAAGTTGTAAGATTGGCCTCAGCAGTGATAGATACTAAGTACAAAGAGACAAAAATGTTTCTATCTACAGATACTCATAATCAAGTGGCTGAAAATTCACAATATAACACACAATATACAGTACCATGCTAAGATTGTCTGTGTGTCTGTGTCTGCAAGGTGACGAGAGCATTTTCTTTCACGAAGACTCCGAAGCGTGTGATCCAGAGGGCTTTCATGGCCAGCAGTACTCCAGAAGAGAAAAGCCAGAGGCTGAGTTGTGAAAACCGCGTTGGCAGCAGCTCCACACTGGCGGTAAGTTCTTCTGTTTATATACACATTGTGAAAACTGAGGGAAAAAACAATATGCTCTCTAATATCTAAGTTACTTGTTATTGAAAGACCATTATCTGTGTTAATAATGAAGATAAGTTTCCTGAATTTCTTTCTTTTTTTTTTTTTCTCCCCAGTTTTTACAAAATGTGTCTACTTTGTCTGTTTTATATAAACAGCATATCACAATTAATACTGGGTGGCTGTTGGATATCTCTCTGTCCATTTTTCTGTCCATCTGTTCCTCATTTCTTGTCTATTCTCTCCATTCCTTTCTCCTTTTGCTGAGAAACAGGCCATTGATCTCTCCATCAATCCATGATTGAACAGCTTTCAGTCAGTGTCAGTCGTTTTGATGTAGCTTGATTAGAAAGCAGATAATGGTTTCTGCTCTTAAATGTGCTTGAACTTTTTCAGCTTTTCAGTTTTGTTGCACTGTAATTTTAGTGATTTCCATACTTATTTCCCCCCACATTTTGTGTTATGGCTACTGTTTGAATGATTAATTTCATAATACTGTATTTTCATTAAACAAGTGGACATGAAGTCGGGGAGGAGGGGAAAATGTCAAGAGGTTTGAGGAAAAATCAAATTCTGACATTATTCACACTACTTAGAATTTAAAATCATAAATCATTCATCTAACTTATAACCTTATTCAATGACAGTATTCAATTCAGTTTTCTTCATAAAGCTCAATATCACAAATCACAATTTGCCTCACAGGGCTTTACATCATACAACATCCCTCTGTCCTTCTGACCCTCACAGCAGATAAGGAACCCCCCAGAAAAGCCTCTAACTTGCAAAAAAAATTGGGAGGGATCCCTCTTCCAGGACGGACAGACATGCAATAGATGTCGTACAGAACAGATCAACATAATAAATTTGCAGTAATCCACATGACAAAATGATGCATAAAGACAGAGAGAGAAATTGAGACAGAGAGAGATGCAGGACAGACAGTAATGACAATAGCTATAATAACATTAATATTAGTAATGATATTATAGTAATAACTAGAGCACTCGGAGAGCGCAGACCTCCGCCAAGCACCTCGGATTTCCCGCCATTTTATTATGTTTACATTTTTACAATTACAGAATGTAAGAATCACTTTAGGCCTACACAATAATAAATCAAAAAATGAAAATGTTTAAAAAACACCATTCATTTTCATATTTTTTTTTTTTGTCAAAGCACAAGAAGCTAAAGGGCCACATGTGTCTTTGAAGCCGCTGGTTGCTTACCCCTAAGCTAAAGGGTGCTTGGCCTAAAAAACAGTGATGACCCCTGTTAATGTAAACTCACCCAAATCTAATAGAGCAGGACACAGCTGCTAACATTAGCCCACAGTCTGATATAGTAGCATTCAACTGGCTCCACACAGCAGGGAAATGCTACACAGGCTAGTGGTCTTTTTATAACCTGTAACCCCAAAATATGAAATGCCCCTGGTTTTATTGGACAATAGCTGTCCGTGTTCAGATACTTGATTTGATTGTTATTTTAACAGTGTAGACAGGTGTGCATTGTGAATTAAAAAAAAAAAAAAAAAAACAGTATAGGGATGCACGATATTGGATTTTTTGCTGATGTATATTATGCCGATATATTACAACTTATTTGGCCATTAAACAATACTGATATGGATATATCCACTTTTTTCCCCCACCTAATTTTAGTGATCATTAAGTCTCTTCCGTAGTGGAATTAACATAATATTATGCATGCATACTCTTACCATGATGGCCCACCAGCAGATGGAGACATGAAATACAATTCTTTTCATGTATGTAATATTCATTCATTGTGCAAAATAAGAAAAAGCATGTTGGCCCATTCTTATAGTTACTTTTAAAGCTGATATTGGCCGATACTGGTGATGTACTGCTATTATCAGAATGTTGACCGATTTTGATAGTTCATTTTTAGGGCAATATCAGGCGATATCAATGACGTGCCAATATTATTGTGCATCCCCGCTATAGTATTAGTCAGTTCAGTGTGCAATTTTAAATTTACCCCTGCAGATGTCTCTTTCCCACTCTACTTAAACCTAAATTCTAACATCTGTCTTACTTTGTGAGATACTCATTCTCTCTCTCCCTTCCTTATACACTCTTTCACATGAAGACAAGTGTTTCTATCTTTTGTGTTACCTTCTGAAAATATCCTCTCTCCCTGATTTTGTTTCAGCATGTCTATTCTCTGCCTGTCTCATCATGTTTTGTCTTTTTTTTTTTCATGATATATAAATCCTTGCTCCATATGTGTTTCCCCTCTGTTATGCACTCCAGATGTCTCGTTCTGCCTCCACGTTCAGTTTGAGTGATACTGCCAAGAGCAGTGCTGTGGTACAGCGCTCTAACTCTCTGGACCATCCTCCTGTCAGAGCCAGAGTCCCTGTCTGTATACGCACCCCCTGCAGCCCATCCCATAGCCTCGGCCCTAACACTGGCGCTAAACTTAGCCAAAGCCTCTGCCCGGACTGCCCTAGCACTGGACAACCCAAGTCCATTCTTCATGCTCCGTCATTGTCCCAACCAGCACAAGCCAATTCAGGCCGTTCCAGCTCTATTCCAGCTGCCCAAAACTCCACTCAGCTAAACTCCAAAAACTCCCATCCAAAATCTAGCCAGCATGTGTCCAGACACCTACCCCCTGTAGGATTCCAGCCAAGGTTTCCGGCACCTCAGCTGGTTAATGTCAAAGACGGGACCTTTTCCAAGTCATGCAGGGATCCCCAAGTCCCCCTGGACCCACGAAAGGCTGCCCTGACCAGTCCTCGCAGGGAGACTCTGCTCTAAACCATCGCTAAGCTCAGTGCTGGAATCTGACGTGAGCAAACATTATTGTGGTTTAGTTTAACTAGGGGTGCACTACTACCATTTTTAATGTCAAATTAATCTTCACTACCTGCTGTATACTCTATGTTGGCCTTTTAACATCCAAATGCCACAGGTGCATTTCTAGTCCCAAATCAACTCCTTAGAAGCTGAGCCCCCACGACAAAGATGGATCAGATTAATAAGAGTCTGCTATACAGCTGAACTCCAATGATAAGATGAGAGGGGGTTAAAAATATTTAAGTATTGTGGGTGTAATGCTTCTCCCCACATAAGATTGGCATAGGTGTACAGGGCAGAGATTTTAAGGGTTGATTTGGAATAGCTCTGTTCTTACAAATCACCCGGGTTACTAACGGTCGCTGGTGGCTGGGAATATTCACTCATTCATAGATTGCTATTAATAGTGGGCTGTACACAAAATGGTATAATGGAGCTGAGTTGATGTGGAGCTGGGGAGAGGTTTGTCCAGGTGTCGGCCTGCTTTTCCTCAGGGGAAAAAGGCTCCTTTAAAGCTACAGTTTGTAACTTTATGAAAATAATTTTGTTTCAATTTTGCTGAAACTTAATTTCTTATTGTGAAAGGAGAACATGAGATACTCAGGGAAAAAAATAATTTCCCTCCTCCTTTTCCTACTGCTTCTAATGGCATTCACTAGAATTTACCACCGTGCACTAAAAGCAACCAATTAGAGTAGGGTTAGGTGATAAATAAAATAAACTCAGTGTATCGCTGCATGTGCCACATTGGATATATAAAATGACCATTTCGCAAACATCGAGTGTAAATGTTAACACCATTTTTTAAAGCCATCTGCATGAGACTCGCTTCAGCAATTCAGCTCACTTGCTTTCTCTCGTTGCTCTCTCCCTCTCACAGACACACACACATAATGGAAGACTCAAAAATCTAATACATCACCCACACCCCTCTGCGCATCCAGATTACTTTCTCTTGAAGTGTAGTGTGTGAGCAGGGCTCCAGACCACGACTATTTAGTCACATTTTGTGACCATGGAGCACCACTGCAACTTGCAAATATAAGCTGTTAGTTTGTTTCAAGTTTACAATGAACAAATCATCGTGTTTAACAGTGCCACGGTAATAGTTTAATTTAATGAGATTAGTGATAAGGTGACCAGGGAAACCGTGTGTCTTTGGAAATGTAGAACACCAGACTGCAAATACTCAGTTGCATTTTACAACCATGGAGCACCAGTGGGACTTGCAAATACTATTAAGATATGAACTGGAGAACTGTGAGTTTGTTTCCAGCTCACAGTAAATACAACCTTACTTTCAAAGGCACTGCTACAGCAGTTTAATTTTGTGCTAACTGCAAACATCAAACTGTTGACCGGAAGCTTCAAGTTCAAAGCAAATACATCAACACTTCCGGCCCAAGACTAGCTGGGTGCTTCCAAATAAAAGCACCAGTGGTTCTACTTTGATATTTTTTTTTTAGTTATAACAATGCTTTAGTTAACCTTATTATAACAGTACTTTATTTAACTTTATTATAACTTTGCTATATTTAACTTTATTATAACAATAGTTATTTTATTGAAACTTATTGAAACTGTAGTTCATTTAATTATTTCGTATTTTAGTAGTCCACAGTACTTTAGAGGAGATTTCAAAATATCATGATACATATAATGTAATGTGAAATAACCTGAAAATATCACAATATTAGTTTTAAGCTATGTCGCCCAGCCCTAAATCAGAGTTGAGGACTCTCTAATGCCACTTTGAGATTGTGACCCAGTTTGACATATTGGAGACGGTCAACCAATGTACTAAGCGCGGCCAACCAGGCAGACCAGCATTCTCATATCACAGCTAAACAGGACACTAAAATATGTTTCTGTATACATTTGAGGCAAGAAACAGGCAATACTGTAACAGAATCAGGGTTTTCCCTGCTTATCTAGTACAAAAGCAGGCTGCCTGAGTGATTTTGGCCACCGCCTTGGTTAAATCATGTGTGTGTGCATGGGGGGCATTCAGATGTATCTTTTGCGCACACAAACCCATTACTTTCAATGTAGACACACGTCATGCGCACTTGGAACCCAGAGCGACGCCGTAGCGGCGCGCAAGTGTGTCTCTCTTAGTGTTTCCCATGGAGCTCTGCCCAGTCTGAAAGGCGAAGGAAGCCCGTATGTGGAAAGACGTCGCCTCTGAGATGTAGAATGTGTATTATAGAAGAGAAACACACATTTCAGGACCACTGACTTGTATCATCAGAACAGACATGTCCTGTGATTTTCAGGCTCCTTTCATATTTAATAGAGGGGGGACAATACCTGACAGTAATATTCTCAGCTGTCAGAATGTGCCTGCTGTAAAGGGTAGATATAATCATAGAAGGCTGACAATCACAGGACATGTCTTTTTTGATTATACAAGTCAGCAGCTCAAGCATGTGGGGGCCTCCTTTCATATTTAATAGAGGGGGGGACCGCATCTAAAAGTACAGCTGTCAAGATGCCCCCCGCCACAGGCCTTTGCCACCTTGGTCTCGAAAAATCCCAAGGAAAACCCTGAGAATCCTGATTCAGATTTAATCGGTGCTGCCTAGTCTGACAGTCTGACCTGAGTTCACAGGCTGTGATTGACATGACTGACAGCTGTGTCACAGACTCCTCGACTCTGACCGGTTGTTTTTGTTAACATGTGGTTGCATTAGAAATGCTACACTGCAATAGAGTAAGCAGAGGTATGTGGGGTTTTTTTTTTCATTGATTATCATTCATATAGTGCTCTGTGACTGTAGTGACAGTGTCAGCAAATATTACACAAGTTATTTTTTATTAAAGTTACTAACTACAGCTTTAAAGGCATGCTGTCACATACAGTTTAGTTTTATTTTCCTGTCAGGTGTTTACCACATTACTGTTTAGTACAGGCAGATCCTTTATTATTATAAAGAGTAGTTTTGTTTACTCAAATCAGCAGGTGTTACTAAGTTGAAGTAAGCTTTTAGAGGTCTTTGTTTCAATCAAAGCAGCTTATTTAAAAAAGAACTTGAAGGACTAATGTAAGTGCTGGTTAAAGAAAATATCAGGAGTGAAAATCCAAATGTCAAGGCATGCCTTTGATTTTGGATGCTGTGCTCTTTGTAAGTTTTGGCTACTTTACACAAAAACAGCTCACTAGAATTAAAATGTCAATGTATTGATGGGAGCCGGACTGACTTCTCATCTTAGCTTTAACTTGTGGTTCAGTTCACATGATAGCTGTGCTCCGTTTTAACCATTTGTGATTGAGGAGCTGCTCAGTGTACTCAGTTCAGCCATTTAACCTGTTCCCAGTCATGTGGATAGTGCTGTACCAGTGTGAAAGGGATTCATGTTTATGAAATGGGGTTTGACATAACAGAATGACAGTGATTTCAATTTGGAGATCATTAAACCATTTCACAATGAACCATACAGAACCCTTTTAAGATAAGATAAGATTAACTTTATTGTCCCACGTGTGGGAAGTTTGTCTTGGGCTGTAGAGGTGACCATCACTGCTCACATGAAGACTTGACAAGAACAAATAGCTTACATAAGGACTGAGTGAAAACTAACAGAAAATTAGGACATACACACAGTACAAGTAAGACATACACAGTACAGTTCATTCTCCGTCTTGGGGATAGATTACTGAAGAGAGAGTTTTTTACTGTCTTGAGAGCCTCCCCACTGCAACCTAGTAACGAACACAACATTTTGGGATTTGCCCATTTTACTCTTGCATCAGTGTGATTTTGAAGGTATGAGTGGGATTTTTTTGAAGTGGGGTTGAATGGGGTACTTTTCTGTAGTTAGTGCATTACATACAGTAAATGTCAGTCGGCACGCCTCCAGTTTGGAGAAGCAGGCTAAGTACAGCAATCTACTGCTGTGGATTGCCCAGCAACAAAATGTAGTCTAGCCACCTAAAAAAGTCCAACCTAAAAAACTCTACATCAGTTTAAGTGTATACTATATAAAGGGTATTTTCACCGCTTTACCTTTGTGTCAGACAGCCTGTTCTGACGGGAAAGCCTGTAAAGGCTTGAGTTCCACATCTATGCTCTCATCAAAGCCACCAGACTCCACTGAAGGTGTGTTCACACCGGACCTGTTTTTTTTTTTTTTTTTTTTTTTTTTCGCTAGCGACGAGTTTACATACAAAGTCAATGCAAACATGTGATTGCCCAGGAGAAAAATCGCTCGGGCTCCAAGCAACAGAGCGATTTTTCGCTCGTAGCTTGAGATGAGAAATCTTATCTGGAGCGGTATTTCGCTGGGTCCTGTCGCTTGCAGCTCAATGCTGATTGGCTGCCGGAATCCCGGGGGGGGTGCTTGACTGTCAGGACATGTCAGCTTCATTAAAAGTATAGCTGCAAATTAAAAGCAACAATAGATGTAAAAACACAGACACAATGCATCTGTGATCAGTTCCCTAATTTAATTTTAACAATTTTTTCAATCTTCAATTTCTTGTTTTATTTTATGGAAGTGATCAATGTAAGTGCACTTGTCCTAGAGCCGCCGCGACAGTTTTTATAATGCAAATAACTCTGTTTAGATAAAACCTACAAGCTTCTCTTCCTATGACTTTTCCTAAAAATGTGTCTTCTGAAGCCTTTAAGTTACAAAAATGAAACACACTACACTTCTGAGCATTTATACCACCGACTGCTGCTGAAAATTATACATTTTGATACATACAGGTAGGCTATATACATATTGCAAAAAAATATTTATTTGAAAATGAAATCATTCATACTGTCAATAAAAAAACATTTTGTTAATAATAAAAAACGAATGTAATCTCAACAGTGACCGTGCCAGCCAGCGGGACTGTGGCGCTTGGAGGGGCGCTGTAATCCTGGTGGTCCTAGTGTAAAGCACCACGGACAGCGCCAATGCATCTATCGTTGTAGCTCAGAGGCTCTGATGCCGGAGTTGGAGCTGGAGCTGCCTCAACCACAGGTTATTGATAGGAAGAAA